CCGTTTTCTCTCCACCTGTCTTAGTGCAACTTCATTCAAAATTTTGGACTTTTAGCGCTTTTTTTGTATATCTCTGAAACGACTCGAACGAATTTTTTTAAAATCTCTTCACATAACCTTCATAATCTATATAATAATGTCTTAAACTTTCATTAAGATTGATTCTCTGCAACACCTTGAAATTTCAAGACAAACCTATCCTACGAACTGGTCAAAATCCGCGCTACAACATTCACTGTTTTGACGTTATGCCATTTTTTCCAAATTAATGCGGAATACATATATCCATGACTACCACATTTCAGTATGAGTATTGTCACTGTTTTACATTCAAAAGATGAGATAAATGTAACTATAAAATAAATGTACTAATCATGGAGGTATGTATAGTGCGCATTATTTTTGGAAAAATTAGCATAACGTCAAAACAGTGAATGTTTAGCCAATTACTGGTGAAAATTTTACAGCGATCGAACAAGGAAAAAAACACTTTTAAGGCGATTGAAAAACATTGGTATGGCCTCAGAAAAACTGTCTCGAAACACCTTAAAAATGATAAGTCAGAGTAAACACATGTGAAGTCAAGCGAAAGATGGCGATGAAACTTCTTTAGCCGACTGCAAAGAAACGAATGAATGTCAGTGCAGTTACACTTCATGCGTGAGAAATATTTCCAGTGTGAAAAGACAAAACGATACTTTTACAAAATTATTACGAAGAATGCCCTGCCTCCAAATAACAAAAGTTTAATCAGTTTGCATTTCATGGAATATTTAAAAGCACTTCACACTAAAATAAATCTGCGTCCCGATTTAATGAGAATTTTAGTAGTAAAAATTTTGTTATTTGAGGCAAGTCAGAGACGATTTCATCCCAGGTTTATTATCACAATAACCCTAACCCTAACCCCGACACCTTAGCGTTGACTTCTGACACTAACAGCTAACATTTAAAATTTTTAAAATAAGAGGAGAACTTACTTATGAATTTCTTGAAAAAACACTGAAGAAAACTTACCTTGCATTTCTTTAGATGAATTATATACGTAAGGCTTGATGTTGGACCATTCTACTGTTATATGCGACGCAGACAAGGCCAGCTGAGCACAGTTTTGGGATACTTGCACGTTCTCCGCGGCAAAAGCGGTCGATGCCAGTACATAACACATAAGCACAATGGTAGTGTTGAGCATGATTTAAAAGAAATATTTAGTTGCTTTCTCGCTAATCAAGCTTACTGTTCTCCGTTAACAAGTGTCATTAAAAATGAAAACAAATGTTGGAGAGTGAAATCAGTATCAATCGAATAGGCTGCCTCAAAAACGTCTTCTCCAAATTTGACGGGAGTACGGATTATGCTTATGCGTACTTCAGCTACATAACAAGGTAGCTGTGGCCAAGAGTCCTGTTGCCATAGAGAAATATAAGTGCTTTAGCATAACAATCTATTGTCAACCTAGCAAACCAGTTATTTAATAAATCTTTAATAACATATTCAGTTAAGTTCTAGCCTTCTCGAGACAAGAGACGATTCATCTCAGCCAATTACAAACAATCTTTTTGAGATAAGGAAGGCAACGTTTAGCAAAATCAAATTGCGGTGAAGAAACCTTTTTCTCCTTAGAAGAGTGAAAGTGTGTTAAGTTGCATTTATCTGCCACAAGATATTCATACACCATTCTGCTCAGCAAAGGCATAATATGATAAATTTGTAATGACTTAGTGAGCTGCCTTGCCAAAACAATCGGCTCCATGCCAGCTCTTTATTCTGTGTGGCATTTAATTTTCCTTTGTATTTTATTTCATCGAAAGTAGTTATTGGCAAAAAACTGGTTCAAACGGACAAACAACAAAAATAACTTATCTTCTTTGACACATCCTTCCTATCATAATAACATAATATCTTAGCTTATCTTGATATTTTCTGACTCGGTTCAGTCGGAACCTGCGTGGATTAATTATTTTTCTACGAAATGAGCCCAAACGTCCGTCAGTCTCGTTTCAGTGTCGTGTTGGTAGCCATCATCAATTCTACAATAGTCATGGTAATTGGTTCACAGAATTTATAGGAGTTTCACTCTGCTTGTTTAATAGCCTCATCAGAGGGGGCCCGAAGACTTTGTTTATTATAGCTTATTTCCTACCACAAAACTAGCACGCTATAAGGAACATATTTTGCTAGCGTCACTTGGTCTTTGTTATAACAAAGTTTCATTGTTATTCAATAAAAAACGCAGCGCATCAAAACCTGGATTCTACATTTACGAGGAAAGTCAATGTCGTTATACTTACCCTGAAACTTTTAAGTGGAGTACACTCCCATTTCCGCGCGATCGACGCTCGTGAAGGGATATCATACTGAAATCAAACTGAGAAAAAAGTAATAGCCTTTCCTTAGAAGCAAATCCCTTCCCAATCGACCAACGAAAGACCGTCATGTGTTCACAATCTAGCGTTATGAAGTTATTCTTCTATAAAACAATTTTCATTGGTTATAAAAATATGTCCACTTTCAGTACGCGTTATTGCCGACGCAATGTAACGAACTTTGTCACATCGCGCGCGATTTAAATTCAACGGCGATTTCAAAATATGTACCCAGACGTCTCTCTTTTGATAAAAACTGAAGGTGCTTCGGCTGCCGATGTCTACGGTTCATCAAACGTTTCGCCTCGGCCATGCGAAAAAAATTAAAGAAGGCTGTTATGTTTACTGAAGGTGACGGATGTACAGTCGAAACATACCTGGTAAATTAAAGAAAGTTATGTTTATGCCGATCTCCACTTATCTTTTGCATTTTTTCTTTTTTTTTTTTTTTGTGCTTAATTTAATTTCCTAAGACGACTGCATTTAATTTCCTTTAGAATGCTGTATAGCTTGAATTGCCTAGCATCATGAATAGGGCTACATCAGAAACTCATAACTGCTCTAACATCATGATGGCTTTGGAAGTATGTTAGACTGGACTTGTGACATTGTGAATCGCCATTTACTCTACCCTGCAAGCAGGCTTTTGGCGTTTACAAAGTCGTTCGTGTCGCTTGTCAATCGCATAGTTGTTTTTTTTCACACCTGACCCAACGCTAAGAGCCATGCAAGCGAGAAACCTCTTCTCGCAGGTAGACTACGAGTAGTCCCCCATTTTTCGTCAGGGATAGTAGAGCGAGCGAAACGCGAGCGCGCGTGAAAATCACCTGACGCGAGAAAATGCGACACGCCGGCTTGTCGCCTTTTCTCGCGTGGGTGATTTAATTTTCTACTATCCCTGAGGAAAAATGGGGGACTACTCGTAGTCTATCTCGCAGGGTACATTTACTCTTAACTTTCAGAGCTAACTGTTCACTGACATTTTGAAAAGTGAACCAATGCAGTATCAACACCTGTCTCGTAAATTAACTGCAATGCCAACTGAAATAAGATGAAATTTTAGTTTTTCTGCTTTTCTCTTAAAGTAGCTCTTGCAATTACTATATGTACCTGTATGGTCATGCAAATAAAACTTCTTCCCGGCTGGGCTAGGCGAAAACGCCGAACTTTTCATGTACGAGTAATTCAATAGGTTCGGCTCATGAAAAGTTCGGCGTCTGAACTGGGCCTAAGTGTTTTTTTTTTTTTCATGGGCTGAAGGTTCTCTCACTGTAGACGTTTCAAGCCAGCACGGAGAGCTTTTAATTCTCCTCGCTTCGAGAAGCGCACATTCTGAAGACAAAATTTGAAACTAGTCAAAAAATAGGCAATGAAAATAATCTGATGCTGACTACTACCGTGAACTGGATCGATTAAAAACATAGAGCTAACTAGCTATTATAAGTGCTGTAAATATCTTGTTTGGCTTTTCTATTTGAGCGTGAACAAATTAAAAATCTCAAATCTCAAATCTTTATTTCAACACGGTAAAAATTCATCAGGTTTTTTTGCTACAATATAAAATACAACTACATAACAATATTTAATAACAATAAATACGTATCTAAAGAGTCTCTTCAGTAAAAATACTACTCGTAATTACACTAAACTAGACCTGTTTTGCATGGTTAACGAAAATGAAGGTGTAACAATTGCATAAAACGATTTAGAGATTTCACTTGCCTAAGAATCAGGGTAGATTTTTCCAGAGAGTTGCACCTCTATAGCTGGCTAAAGCTCCTTTTTAGGTAGTTGGTTCTGGTAAAGGGACATTTAATTTGTTTGTAGAGTCCCTTAAGACATAGCATGACGTACTGCGCTCAGTAAATATAGAAGAGAAGTAGTCAGAAGCAAGATCATTATAAGAGCTTTGAACACCATTAAAGCTACTTGAATTTGACGCTGGGCAATCAGGTCTTTCCATCCAAGTCGTTGTAACAAGTACCCAGCGTCAGCATCGTAGGAGGGGGAAGTCAAAATGCGAGCAGCACTATTCTGCACTTTATGTAGTTTTTCTGAGAGCGTTTTGCTGCAATTCCCCCAGACAATTAATACCACTGTAATCGAGATGGGGTTGTACCAAGGCATTGTAGGTGTAATGTAGTATTTCAGGCGAAACAAAAGGTTTAATCTTTGTTGAACTTTTTATCTATCGAAAGTTCAAGGGATTCAAATAATGTACTCAGTTTTTGTCTAGAAACAATTAAAATAAACTCGGTTTTAGTCGTATTCAGAGTAAGTTTGTTGCAGAGAAGCCATTTGTGGATGTTACTTAAATCACGATTTAGACTAGACTGCACTGCGAGTGTAAGTATGCGCTGGCATATGTTATGTGGGTGTCGTCTGCATACATCCTAGGCTGGCAGAGCGATAAAAAGTTTGGCAAATCGTTGATATAGATCAAGAATAGAAGAGGGCCTAGGAAAGTTTCCTGATGGACCCCACAGCCCAGATAACAGACTTTGGAAAGCGAACCATTGGATACGGTTATTTAGATACGAATTAAACCAATCGTAAGCAGACTCTTGTATTCCGTACAGTCACTAAGTTAATCTAAAAAAACATCGTGATCAACGGTATCAAATGCTTTTTTCAAGTCCAGGAAAACCGATACATTTACATTACCGCGATCTATATTGAAAGCCCAGCTGTCAGTAGCTTTTATGAGCCGAGCAGTCACAGTCGAGTGCATGGAGCGAAAACGTGATTGTTGGTTGGTGATAATCTCTTCATTTGCCAAAAAACCATACAATTGATCATACACTATTCTCCGAACACCTTAGCTATTACGGAGATAAAAGAGATTGGCCAATAATTATTCACATCAGTTCGCTCACCAGGTCTCTTAGTTAGTCGAACTGGGTAGACGCCATATTGCGATTCAAGTCACCCATCAAATAGTATTCAAGACCAAAGTGGATTGCGTGGAATAAAACAATTAACTGCTTGATTAATGCGATCATCATTCAAAATATCAAGGTGAGCCGCAGGAGGATGCTGGTATTGTCCAGCGTTGTTCTTCACATCACTTCTCGTCACCAGATTTCTGTGTGTCCTGTAATGCGTTGCCAGTGTTGAGTGGCGATTGAACGCTTTCTTGCAAATTTGGCAAACAAAAGGTCGTCGATTGGTGTGAATAATCTTATGACGACACAAAGTGCTCGACAATCGGAAACCTTTGCCACAGGTCAGACACACAAACGGTCTTTCACTTGTGTGCTGTGGCAGTTTCATATGTCTGGCAAACATGTGTTGAGTTTTGAAGACTTTCCCACATTGATGACACTTGTAGTTAGGACTTTTGTCGTCTTTAGAAACTGGGCATAAATTATTACGAAAGGGTAGGTCGATACTGGGCGAGGTTTCGTTGAAAATGATCTTGCCTTGATCATGATCACTCATTTTATCTGCTGGTGAGAATTCCAGAATCTTATCAATTGAAAAAGATAATAGCGTGGTATGGTCATTTCGCGGGATCCCTCCACATTCCTTACCATCATCTGAGAAACATGTATTACAGCTTACTTTTCTTTCTATCATGGTTTCTTTCGTTTCCTGATTGGAGGCCTCAAGCTTTTTCTTCTCTTCTCCTTTAACTGCAAGAAATCCAAAAACAGATGGTCATTTCAAGGTGAACTGAATTAGCCATCCTTCCCTAGAGCTGTTTAGTGAGGTTACGTTTAGCGTCATATACAAGAAACAGAGACTACATCCAATTGATTAATTAGGTCGAGTTCAATAGACTGTATTTTACAATCGGTATAATTAGTATACTCTAGTCGGCGGAGTTTGCTTCTTTAGGCGTTCATTACACCACCTCAGCCCTGGCTGGCCCTAATAGAATGTTTCACTGTTTCCTCCCGGGATAAATTTGCAACAATCTGCCAGCTGTACATGCCGCCATTATAGCGTTAATGGAACTAACCCGCCTCAAAATTTCTAAGATCTGACCAGAGTCTTTATATGATAACAAATCAACTTTCTTACCAGAAGCTTTGGATGAATATGAAACACGTCTAGTCAGGCTTCTTCTGATTGTAAATGAGCGAGGCATTGCTCCCTTTTTTCTCCAGGATGAAGTAATGGGTGGAAAGATCGTTAACGATAGAGCAACTGGGTCAGAACTCTTCACTAAATTTCAGTATACAGATCCATAAAATTCATTGTTACCCTATCTTTATACGGACGGACGTAAAAACACCTGTCTATAAAAACGCAATTTTCTTGGTAATGCCACTGAGATCCACCTGCTTTGAGGATGGATTTTGCAATCTTCAACCCTTACCCTTTGTTCGTATCATTTTTCACCCTGCAGTCCATGACATCAGTGAATGGAATCCTTTGATCTAAATGACTCAACATTGTTCGGCGTTTGTTGTCAGACTCTTAGATTCTCTGTCTGACGATCGTGACACGCAAGAATAAAACATCGTTCCCACGTTACGCAAAAGGTGCCACCTCACATTTCAATAAAAAAAGCCGTGGTCATTCGCTTAAAAGCGGGAGTTTCATTAAGAAAATGTGTTAAAAATGTTAAAATACGAAAGAGAGGGCGTTGTCTTCATAAGCTCACGCGTACATTAAATAATGTAACGATTACTCGCGGGATCAGGGCTTGACATGGCACAGTATACATTTTATAATAACTTAAACCGTTTCAACTATTAGAAAGGATATTCAAAGTGTGGTCTCAAAGTCTCGCAAATACAAGTAACAGGTGGCATACAGGGAGCCAGGTATTTATTCCAGGTTGACGTATTTAGGTGGCAATACATCAACGTGTTTTATTGTGTCTAAAAAAATTTCACTTTCCAAAAATAAGGACTCATTCACGTCCTTGCATGAGATTTTGCAATCTCCTACAGTCTCCTTTTTGGGTGGCATTGCCGTAAAGGGCTATTTTTTACATAGCCTACTGGAGAACGACATCCTTAATTATCATCTCCACCAAAAATCAGTGATTTCCAATGCCGTTTTTCGATTATACCGGCTCGGGCGAGTTGTCATCCCGGGCCCCTAACACTGAACACCTCTTGCTCTTATTACAACCGTTTGCTTCGATATGTTTGTTTTGTTTAATTTCTTTTGCTTTTCAGAAAATTGGTCTGGCCGCTTTCAGCAGCTTCCTTGAAGCTTAACGAATTCGAATTCGACAAAAGGGATTTTTTTTAAGGGTGCCGAGATTTCACAAAAATTAAAACATTTAGCACCCGGTTTGTAGTCGCCCCTGTGTAACCCATTTTTGTGCTATAAGTCAGGCTCATCTGATATCCCAGACTTAACTCTCACACTGTGAGCAACGTAAGAAGGGGATAAAGAGGATAACTGACCTGCTATAAAATATTCATTTACCGTGTATCAATTGGATACCGTTCTATATTTAATTATTGACAAGGATTTAAGCGCATACCAGACCACAAATGCGTCACAAGTATTACTGAAACCTGTTTTCCTTTACGATCCCCTGCAATCTCTATTGTGTTATTTATATCGCGGCAGCAGTTTACACGGTAACGGAGCATTTATTGCGAAAGTTAGAGTTGATTTTACTTAAAGCTCCCCTGGGTGGGTAAAAATAACGGCAGGTAGTTCAGTTCCTTAACGAAAGAAAGTTTTTACAGGTACCCGAGCAGATTGCCAATTGTTATACCTTAGTTGTGATGGTATTTACGGAAGAAATCTTGTATGACTTTTACTCGCAGCTGAGTTTCTTTGAAATTTCAACCGTGGTTCGTCAATGATGCCTGAAGAAACACTCGATATTTCGAAATGCCACTTCGTTTTGGGTATCTGAGCAGGAATGAGAGTTTCTAGATTAATGTTAATAAAACCGTCGATTGCAAAACAAAATTTGTTTTTCTTACCCTCTTCCAAACAAAATTAGGATTAACTGGTCACTGTAGAAAATCCTTAAAAGCTTAAAAATGTTAAGAAGCTAAAAAAATTGGCGGATAAGAATATCAGCGTAATGAAGAGACAGCCAAAAAAGAGTAAAACAAAAATAAACAAACTAAAGCCTGGTTTCCACTTTTTTTTGTCGAAGCCATGAGCTGCCAACGCTGGACTTTTTTGAAGCATTCAGTCTGATTCTACCAGAGACAGGGACGCGCAATGATTGCGTGGAAACAAAAACAAGAGTCAGAAAATTCATATGTAATTACACTCTGAAGAATTCGTGGCTGCTTTATCTTTCACTGAAATGTTCTCCATTTGAATGCAGCTGTTCCATTTACTGTATCGCCAATCATTCGCCGATCATTCATTCATACATGTCCGAAAAATCGTGTTCTATCTACGGCTGTCGCTTGAGATAGTCGTGCTTTTCCGTTATTACCTTTTATTTGTTTCCTCGCTCGCTGTTTTGTAAGAAGGACAGTTAAACAACTAAAGAAGAACAACCAAGAACACAAATTACTTAAAAATTTAATGCCAAGTACAAAATTACTTTTTACAATAACGAAATATCGTACTACCGGCTGCAAAACCCTGCAGGATTAGACTGTACTAAAACTATAAACATTTAGTCGTCAGCATGGTCATACAGCTGTCATCCAAGAAGTTTGCCTCTGCCATGCAAACTAAAGGAAGCTTCCAGAGACCAGAATGATTTTCCACAGCGTCTGTGCACATTCTACCAACGTGTGGCGAATGCAGGCTCTTACTAGCACAGTACCTCCTCTTTACGCGCGCCTGCGTCTAGATTTCAACTTCAATTAAGCTGTTGCATGCAGATGAAGAACTTTTGTAAAGCTACTGTTTTACAGAAAGTCTTCTATGTCCTCTATGTCCACCATATCATTGACTGTAAAACTGGTTTGTATCTTTGTTGGAGGTGGCGGCCTGGGTAAGCGTGACGCTCTGCACCAGGTGGAAGGTACCTCTTCCTTTTCATCAAGCTTTCGAAACCGAGAATTCACGAAGATCTCCAGGATTCTTTTTGGAGTTTTAGGACTTTTAACCTCGCGCTGGACCGAAAACTGTTCCTGATCTGCATTTGTTAAGTCTTCATTGTCTATAGAGTTTAGCATATAACAATATAGTATTATTAAATGTTTAATGTTAAACCACGATCTCTATGTTTGTATTAGCTTTTCGTCCTTGATCGTCGTAAAATAACTTTTCGGCTGTGTTGGACTAATAGACTTAAAAAGAAATATTTTGCTAAACTATTTTATTTACAAACTGTTGATATAGGAGGTTCAAAGAAAGCATGATGGGGAAGATGAACACAAAGTGAAGCGCTGTTGTTTTCGCCTTCCGGGAAAATGATCGTCACTAGAAAATATATATATATAATAATCGTCATTATATTATTTTCCAAAACTGGTTGTAGCGGACTAATAACAAGAAATAGAAGAAGTCTGGTTTCGATGGTTTCAGGCTGCAAGCCAAGGAAAAAGGCGCTCCTCATTAGCTCGGTATTTATATTCAGGATACTCGTGAGAAAGAGTAAAGAACACGAAGAGATGAATTGTAATTATACCTCCATGACACAATCTAAACATACCTTCACTCGAAGAATCTGTCACGTTAATTTTGCCAGTATTTCTCCATATAACGCCGAGGCAATATCCTTCCCCTCCCCTCCCTGGGGGACGTTCATTGGGAAGTGGGCCCCAGTGAGCTGGGTAACGGGGAATTTTGGCCGTTACCGGTCGTTCGAGGATTTGCTTGATCACTTCCGGTTCTTCCTCGTCGTCCCAGCCTTCAAAGTCGTTCTCCATTTCTTGCTGTTTCATCTGTTTAAGTTTTTGCTTCGCAAGAAATTCTTCCACCATTTGCTCATTATGCGTTTTGATTGAAGGTAGGCAAGCTTTGCCCCCATTAAATGTCGCTTTACTAACGCTGTTATCAGTAGATAAACCTTCTGTACTATTTGCAAGTACCATGGATTGCTGGAGATTCTTTGACAATTTCATGAAACCCCTAGCTGGGATATATAATAAAGGGCGTGGGCAATCTGTCTCACTGCTTGGAGTCTTTTCCAGAACGACTTGCTTTTGATTCTTGAAATCGCGTATGGAAGGAAGAGCTCTGACGGAACTTTCCGTGTTTTGTGCCGAGGAATTACTCCATTCGTGCGGACTAACCTTTCTTTCAGGTCTAATCTTCATTTTCGCAAGTCTCTGACTCTCAGGATCGCGTATCAAAGGCAATTTACCAATCTCAGTAGAACCCACAACTTCTCGTTTTACCTTAAATGTTGTTGCCTTCTGAATTTTGGAATTATCAGGTACTACTCTTTGCTTGCATTCTTTCTTTCGATCTACCACATCAATCTGATTGGTGTCGTGCGGTGCACTTTCATCTAGTTTTAAAGAGTCATCCTCACTCTTTATCAAGTTTTCAGAAATGTTTTTAAATCTCCTTTTCGTAGGGAACGGCTGGGAATAATGATCTGTTATCAACGATGGTAGGTCAGGAAGCCCACTTTTCCTCTCTAGTTCTTCATATACACCAAACATATCCGAATCCTCTGAAAAATTCGCATTGTCTTTACGGGTAAAAATTGAGTCTTCTACTCTGTCTTGCTCTTTCGGTTGCGTTTTCTGTGAATCATTGTCATTTTCTTTTAAGGACAGGTCTTCCAAGGTTTCTTTGTAAAAACCACTGTTCAGTGGAGACAGACGCGTGACTTCATTTTCTGGTGAAGTAGCTCTATTAAAACTTTTATCCCTTGTTGTTTCAACTTTTTCACAAGCCTTCAGCCGTGAAGATCCCCATTTTTCATCTTCTCCATCGGTAAGCACACTTATACTACTAATCATTATTCCTTGTTTTTCTCTTTTGTCCAAAGCATGAGTTTCCTCATCCACACCCATATTTGCATAAGGCACAATTGTCTCACTGCAAGCCTTTTTCTGAATCTTTTTGTCCTTCTGCACCAAGGCTTGCTCCGTTGGTGAAATTTGCTCGGCGTCACTGACCAGGTCATCCAATGGCGCTGGTGCTACTTTATTGCCGTGTCTCTTTATCCACTTTCCAAGAGCTGTACCTGGCCTCAGCCCTCCTTTTCCATTCTTCATTGTTCCACTTTCTCCTCCTTTTTCACTGACAAACTTATTGTTATCTTCATAAAAGATCGTCACTCCTTGTGCTGGAACAGTTTGCTCTTTCGTGTTTTTAACTTGCTCTGCTTGGCAAATCGCGTACTCTTTGCGGCTTCCATCTTTGCCATTTTTTGACTTCAGCTTAACTATAGGCACCTTCAGACGGGACTTCCTCCCATTTCTGTTGCTGATGGCTTCTTCTTTTGACTCGGGCTCTATAGTAGATGCCTCAGCTCTCTCTTTAACAGCAGTGGTCTTCCTAAAGGGCATTCTTTTAAACACAGATAGTTGATTTACCTCAACAAATGACTTTCCCGCATTAGAAAAAATATCTGGAAGATTGGCTTTGTTTGTCAAATCTTTACATTGCTTTAAGCGCTTACGATCCTTAGTCTGATTCTTGTGCTGTTTACCTGGTGACAGCAGCCTACAGCCGCGCAAACTTGGTAAATTGGCTTTGTTTCTGGAATCACCTTCCATCTTGCTATCCACACCTGCTGGCGTGTCTTTCCCAACAGCCTCGCTGAGATCACCGTGAAGAGTTTCACTTGACATGGGAATAACAGCTGGAGGCAAAACAGCAGCACTAGTCAGTCCACCGTCAAAGTTCATGTTCGCTGATCGTTTCGAAGGTCCACATCTGAGAGGTTCAATTTCGCGTACCTCCCCTCGGAGTGTATCCAATCCTTGCTCGGTAAAAGCGCAAGCCTTCGTTCTGTTCATCTTGTTCTCGCCTGAGGGGGCGGTATCCTCGAGACCTCCATTAGCGAAGTTGAATCCGCTGTCAAAAGAATCTTTCCGGAAGCTGGCAGAAGCTCTCGGAAAAGAATCATTAAATACTCTACCACTCGAACGGCTAGTTCTGTTGGAGTTTCTATTTCTTCTAGATGGTGCCACGGCATTTTGTATAAAACCAATGAAAGTAACAATTTTATCCATACCTTGTTTAAAAACTTGGTAAACTTAGACATGGGTCATGACCACGCTAGTTTGTGGAAAAATTACTTTTCCTTCTGCTCGAATTGTCTTCTTACATCATAATGTGTTTAACGTGCGTACTATTCTCATAGCAATTTTGTAACTGATAAATTGACTTTAGAATATTAGAAGCTAACTCGACAGCATCGGTTAACACTAAACAGCGAACTATAGTAAACAAGTTGGTTTTTCTGCCCGTGCAAAAAAAAAAGAAGCTGAAATCGAAGTTTGAGACGGATGATAATTTTCGTTAGAGAATTCGTTTGCGCGAGTAAGCAAGTGCAAGTGCAATGCGCTGTCCCAGCTCTCCTCCTTTCAAGGTGCGTTCAAGTTTTTCAATACATAGCAATGGATCATTATCTCTTGTGCAAACCTAATAGTAATTCGGCTACTAAGTATGCCATGAGCCGATTATCAGCTCCTGCACATGCGCACAAAAAGAAAGCATGTCAAAATAACAATTTAACAAAACGGAAAGTAGATATCTCCGAATCAATGCTTTTGTCGTGCAACTAGTGCGATCAAACAGTTCATTTAAGTGCCTGACAGCCATCGACAGTCGGAACTGGTTACATGGCGCGCGCTTCTACAGAATGATATGAGCGCATTAAGAATGCACAAAGATAATTACCACTTTGTACCTTTACACAAAGTAAGCTGAAATAATTCTACAAACAGTTAAAAGTGTTACTTTAAGAATCAATGATTATGAAGCGCATAGTCTCTGTGTAACCAAGGTACTGAATTGACGATGTTGGAGCTTTATTCACGAAGCACCTGACCGAGAGATCCATAATGATGAGAATCTCTAGAAATTTGAATAGCTTTGAAAGAAAAAACAACAGCAGAAACAAATTTAAACATTTAACATTAAAAAACATAATTACATTTTCTCATTCAAGTGACCTTCATCAAAAAAACTTGACCAAAAAAAATGAAGTTCAAGGAAGAGCATAGAAATATGCACGACAGCGTTGTACCTCAAAGCGAATAAGATAACAGCTGAGTCGGGATTACTCTCAAACAAAAATGGAGAGAATTGTACGGCATCTTGCAGCCATCACCCTCCCTGGATGGTCTCTTTTACATCATACGCTTATACTGCATATAGCCGTCATGTCTGTCCCTCAGAGTTTTTTTTGTTTTTAACCACAAAAACAAGAGAAAATTTCAGAACAAAACAGAATTTCAGTTCGGGTATGAGTCATTTGTCATTGTTGAGTTCCATGTTTTCTACCGGCCAATTTTGAAAAGAAAAATCTGATAATTTTTCTACAAATTCTTTGCAAAGCTTCCAAATTAAAATTGCAATTTGGCTCTCGTAGCTTTTTCTCTGTAATCAAGAGATGATACCTCTCTTGTCGAAATGGGCTTTTTTTCACCTTTGATGTGCCAAAGCGGCGCTAAAAGTAACGAGAGAAACACGGGGGTATGTAAATTCCAGCTGGCGGGAAAGTGATCTGAAACATTCCTAGCTAACGATGCCAAGAGATGTATAAATTAAAAACGGTTAGGCCAATAGTCTAGAATATTAATGCGTTAACGAGAGACGGGTCACAAGTTCACTACAACTCAAGGTGTATTTAATTTCTGTACGTGTCTTGCATCATGCTCAAGATTATGATGTTAGGGAGCAATCGTTGATTACGTCCCAGGGGAGGAGGGGACCAGGGTTTTTCAGAAAGTTGTGGTGTGTAAAATTTTAAAATTGAACCCACCCTTTGGCTTTAATAGTTTTTAAAATGCACCCCCCTCCCTTACGTCTCCTAGACCTAGTTTAAAAATAAGCCGGTTATTTCTCCTTCCTTACTTGGACTTTGACTTCAGAGGCAATTGGATACCAGTAGTTTGGTTAGGTGGAGATAGTTGATAGGATCCTGGGGCAAACTTGGTTATATAGCATTCAATATGGCGGCTGCAAATCTAGAAAAGATTCATATGAGGTAGGGTAGTAAGGTGAGAGCGTCTCTAAACCGGCACGAAAAAAGGCGTGAAGCTCGAGGAAAGTCAATGAAAGGGAAGAATTTAAGATCCTTACTCTAGTGTCTTGGGATAAAATTTTCGTTAGGAAAGTCAGATGAAAGGGAAACAAAAGAATTTAAGGCTTGATCGTTTTGTTTCAAAGAAACGTCTAGATTTTTTTGTCTTTGGGATAAAAATTTTAAACAACTCAGTTACATAGAATGGAAATCCTGTGTCTCTCAAATTCGACCAGGCCCCTTTAAATTTCAGTGTACGTTTTATAAATTGACATCCCAAAATTCTGCCTGTTCAAAAATTGTACCCGTCTACAACCCCCCCTCGCGGTTTTTAACTGGTTTGACATGTTTTCGAGATATTTCGAGGTCAATATATATTTTTGTGTGTGATAGCAATAGCGGAAGAGGGAAAATAAAACAAATAAAGAGGAGCGTAATAACTGTACTTGGGAGGAGAAGGAAGGGGACTGGGGTAAGAAAATATTCTGTTTGGTGCTAGAAAGAGCTAGAAAGAATCAGTGAACCGGAACTGGAACCATTTGTTGGACATTGAATGGAAGGGAAATAGAAATGCATGATTACGTTACGTCTCCGTGATTTACAAACATTTATTGAGACTCCCTTTACAGGGCTTTTCAGTCACAATACGCGGACCATTTAAAACTTACTATTTACAAGAAAAAGAATAAATGATTAACTAATTTAGTATTAAAAAAGATGGAAGTAATTTTAAGAACATATTTGTAAGTCTCTCATTAAAAATTCGACAATCTGCTACTTCCTTCATGTCTTTAGGTAGTTTGTTCCAACAAGTAGCCCCTCTAAAGGCGAAACATTGCGGCCCAGTTTTCAATCTGTATCTCGGTAGATTCAAATCTTTTTGTATCACATGTTTCTATCGTAAAGAGCTAGTCTTGGTGTAAATTTTTGACTAAGATAGTATGGTTGTCGACTGTTTAGGTACTTACGGGCCATGACGGAACAATTAAAAGTAGTTCATCAGCAGTAGCTAAGAATCCATGAAGTGACTTCAAGCCTTCAGAAATATGATTATACTTCCTGAGGCCAAGAACTACCCTGTCGGCAAAGTTCTGAACCAGTTGCATTATATTTAAATTGTTTTAGAGGTGTTGACCCACAGGGTGGAAAAATAATACAATTTAGTGAAAAAACAAAAGCGTTAATGTAAAAGTATCATCAAGAAGGTGCTGTTGATCCTAATTAATCTATGTCAAGAGATCATAATATGATCTCTTGTCTATGCATACAATCGATGTATCTGAGACTGTTTTGGTCACGTGTTGATTATACTGTAGGGATGATTCAATTACTTCTTCCATATCTTTGGCCGCCGATGCCCAGTAATTTAACCGGCGCAAAAGATGGTAGGCTTCTCGTAATCTTCGGGACTCCAATAACCAGGAGCTTAGTCTTGTCAGGGTGGATGACTAGGGAGTTCGTACAGTAGCATCTTGCTATTGACAAGGATCCTTATTTCATGCAATAACAAGGAAAATTTTACTATATAATCCCCATAAACTATTGCTTGGGACCGAAAGAAGATCATTTACATACAGTTTAAATAGAAACGGTTCGAGAATAGAGCCTTGCGGTACTTAAACAGGCACGGAAGAGGGTTGGTCATGTTAACAACTTGGTTTTGTTGTTTTAACAACGAAAGCAAGTTTCAACCAAGTAACTTCCAAACCAGTTGTACAATGAACAGCATTGGACACCGCTATACCCTGAAGTTTTGACAGCATCAGCTTGTAACGTATGCTACCGAACACCTTAGACATGGCTACACATGTCCAAAAGGACGATCACGGATTCCTTTCTCTCGTCCATGTTCTTTCGAATTTCATCTGTGAAATAAAATAGAGCAGTTCCCGTCGAGTAAAATCTCCTATTTCCACTTTGTAGTCTTAAAATTTTCTCATTTTGGTCTATAAGGTAACAAACTCTAAGATTCTTCTGCCCTTTCGCAAACCTTGGACATGATGGGAAGAAGAGATATCGGGCGGGTAAAGGATTTCACGTCACAGGCGAGTTAGGGCTAATTCCTTCGAGAGCATGAATCAACCAATGAATACTTTTCGTAGTTTTTAGTCAACCAATCAAAAACGAAGATACTTATTGACCGAGAGATAACTAGAAAATCTGTCAAATCAGCTAACCACTTAAAAAATAGCACATCATCTTATCTTAATGAGATCTCCTTGCATTTCGGTTCGTGAGATGATTAAAAGACAAAAGGACATGACGTCATCGGTGTTAATGTATTCCACTGCAGGTTATATTAATGAGATTCCACTGCCGAAAAAAAAAACGGAGTGGCCGGTCCCTACTGTACTACCCCAGAATGGACATTTTTAAGGGAATTAAGCCAAACCCCCAAAGTTGTTATACTACGCTGTTCCGTACAGCATTTTTCCTCAGTTGTGTGGATATGGTGATATGTTTCTCAGTATTTCCATGATAGCATGTCGAACATGTTTCATCTTCCAGGAGTAGATCAGAGGATTCAGAGATGAATTGAGGTAGGTCAGCATTTCAGTATAAAGTTCAAGGTTCGTTAGCACCGTATGTGGTCCAATGCTTAGGTAGATAATCATGCAACACGTGAGTGGCAGACAACAAATCAGAAACACAACATACACGTAGAATGTACCAACTGCAGCTTTTCTCTCTCTCTCAGCATTTCCCATATCTGTTCCATTATTCTGTGCTAGCTGTTCCTGCAAGACATTAATTTGATTGCTGTGGTGACGTACAGTTAAGTAAATCTTGAAATAAAACCAGGCTGTAGTTAGGTAACAAACACTATCAACAGTTATTACAATAAAGGCCTCAACATTCGGAGTCCTTCTGATAAGTATCGTCAGAATCGCACTTAAGATCCAAATGAAGATCACTACAGCAACAACGCGCTTGTGAGTCACGAGTTCTTGGTACCTGAGGTGAAGATGAATGGCCAAGAATCTGTCTGCGGCTAGAGCCACAACACCAAAGAATGAGGCATAGCTGAAAAAATATGCCGTGTTTCCCCAAATGTCTGATACAATCTCAAACGTCGAATTTTGAGTGTTTTCTTGCAACCACATGACAAGATATGCAACGTACAAAGGTTGAACCAGTAAACCAAAACCAAGATCAGCTACAGTCAGACTCAGCAGTAATGGTTTTAAAGCTCTTGGTATCGTCAATGGTTTTCTCAGAGCGAGTATTGTTACAATGTTAAATGTTATGGCGGAAAAACCGAAGAAGGCGTTAAAAACGCAGTTAGCAATGATTGAAGCTTGCATCATTGCATATATTGCTCATTACCTCTCAGAACTCTGCATCCAGCACCTCTTTAGTTGATAGTATGGTTCCATTTTCACGTATGATGTTAACAGTTTTCTTTTCTTTTTACATTTATGCAACCGAAATAAAAGGCCAAATTTCATGACAGACATTGATCGTTATCGAGAGTTATCTGTATGACGTTACCTGTTAAGTAATGGAATATTGGCTGCTTAAAAAGTATATTTTTCAAACTAAATATTCCAAAAACTGGTGTTTCGAACGAGCAACGGCAATATCAAAAGGTTATTACGTGGCGCATAGTCTTCTTTATCTGAAGGAAATCCGGCTTCATTTTTCAAATTATATTTGTTTTATAAGGTGGCATTATTCTTCAGCTCACTCAGGAGAGCGATATTAGTGTTATTGTTCGTGAATAATTAATGTACTTAGGAAAAAGGGAACGGGAAAAAAATGTTTGGTGTTACTTCTGGGAAAAGTGTTCGGCAAGTGATATGTGTTGTAATTGAAAACTTGTCAGGATATATGTTTCAATTAAGTAAGTTTAGAAGTGAGGATGAAAAATACGTACGTCTACGTTTTAAAACGTTTCTCGCTCTCTCTCTCTTATTGGGCTACATAAATTGTTAATCTTCCGAAAGGTTGCGCGAAACATTGCGGTTATTAATAAGGACATCAACACACATTATGTCCAACTAGCTTCCTGTCTTTTAATTGCCTTCAGAGCTCAATTATTTTGCCATAACAAATTTCCTACAAGGCTAAAGCACCCTATGTTTTCCTCATATTTTGCAAATACCATTATCATTATCATTATTCAAAAGTAGGTTGAGTTTGATCGTCCGGGTGAACGTAGTCCTGAATAGGACTGTTGTTGTTGACAGTGACTGACGTTTTGTTTGTTCTTTGTTAGTAAACCAGCTTTCTAAAGTAAGACGTTGATAGTAGTCTGTAGAATACATTATACATGTCGCAGAGTCCCAGTCAATTTGATGTTTCGTCTTTAAATGGTGCTCAGCAATGTGATTGTTGACGTCACCATTCCTCGTCGCTCGTTTGTGTTCGGTCAGTCGCGTGCTTAGGTTTCTGCCGGTTTCACCAACGTGAGAATTAAATGGCAGTCGCAGCATTTGATCTTGTATACTGCTCCCTGTCTGTCCCCCGGTTTGTCTTTGTCCTTGACATTAGCAAGCATTCGCCGTAAAGTGGTTATCGGTTTGCGTGCAACGCGTATATTGTAAGGTTGTAATATACGTGCAATAGTTTCAGAAGTGCCTCTGATGTACGGTATAGTCGCTGTTGTAACAGGGCCAGAGTTGGTCTGAGAGTTGGAATCAGTGTTACTGTGAGTGTTCCGTCTAACAAAGTCCGTGTTGAAATTGTTCTTACTAAAAACGTTGTTAAGATAATCAGTCTCGTCTTGTAAGCTGTCAGGTGAGTCGCAAACTAGTTGCGCTCGTCTCGTCAGAGTCCGGATAGTAGTAGCCTTGAGAGGTCGGGTTGTACGAAGACTGGTCTAGTAACCGCTCGGTATGTGTCGGTTTTCTGTAAATAGTCGTTTGTAGTTTGTTGTTGTCGCGAGTGACCAAGCAGTCGTCTGTATTGTCTTAATGGCGTCAATAAAGTTCTCAGTAGACTGTAGTTTGTGTCTAGATTCGTAAGTCAAAGGTTTCGGTACGTTAGTTAAGTATTTAGACAGTTGGTAGGTTAGGGACCCACAGAAAGAAACTGCAACGCAAACTGGTGGCTGACAGCCAGCCGGAACTGGTTACATGGTGCGTGCTTCTACAGAATGATATGTGCGCATTAAGAATGCGCAAAAATAATTACCACTTTGTACCTTTACACAAAGTAAGCTGAAATAATTCTACAAACAGTTAAAAGTGTTTACTAAAAGAAATCAATGATTATGAAGCGCCATAGTCTCTGTGTAACCAAGGTACCGAATTGACGACGTTGGAGCTTTATTCACGAAGCTCCTGAACGGGAGATCCATAATGATGAGAATTTCTTGAGAAATTTGAATAGATCTCTCGCTACTAATTCTTCAGAATTAAGGCCAGTGTTACGCGAGCGAGCACTGGGAATAGCTTTGAAAGAAAAAACAACAGCAGAAACAACTTTAAACATTTAACATGAAGAAAAATAATGACATGTTCTCATTCAAGTGACCTTCATCAAAAAGACTTGACCAAAAAAATGAAGTTTAAGGAAGAGCAGCTAGTGCAAGTGTACTGTAGCATTGTAAGATCTGTACTTGAATATGCCTGCCCTGTTTGGGTAGCCTTGCCAAAGTATTTAGAGTCCTCTATAGAATCTGTACAAAAAAGGGCCCTACGCATCGTTTTGCCGAACTGTCACTATGACGACGCCCTAATTCAATTTGGCATCACTGCCCTTTCCCAGAGAAAGGAGGAAGCTAGCATAAATTTTATCAAACGTGACTGCCTGTCGTCTCCGGTACTCAAGCCATTAATTCCTTGTGTGTCAATTGACAGGCCATACTGCCTCCGTTAAGGCGAACGTGTTCCGGTGCGCCTTGTCCCCAAGACAAAGTGGTTCGCAGATTTCTGCACCATTAAGTTTCAAGACTAGTTGTAATCCTGTGCTCTGTTATTTTTTCTCTGTTATGTAGTGCTTTTAATTACATTTACATAATTATCTACTTGATTGTTTTTGCGTTGTATTGTCTTCTGTTATTGTCTCTGACCTTCCTTGTAATTCAGCCTTTAGGATGCGAGAGGGATATCAATAAACTATTATAATTATCATTATTATTATTATTATTATTATTAAATATGCACGATAGCGTGTGGACCTAAAAGCGAATAATACAACAGCTGAGTCGGGATTACTCCCTAACAAAAATGGAGAGAATTGTACGGCATGTTGCAGCCATCACCCTCCCTGGGTGGATTCGTTTACATCATACGCTTACATTGCATATAGCCGTCACGTCTGCCCCTCGGAGTATTTTTGTTTTTAAGCTCAAAAACAAGAGAAAATTTCAGAACAAAACAGAATTTCAGTTCGGGTATGGGTAATTTGTCATTGTTGAGTTCCATGTATCTGATCGTTTTTCTACAAATTCTTTGCAAAGCTTTCAAATTAAAAGTTCCAATTTGGTTCTCGTAGCCTTTTCTCTGTATATCAAGAGATGATCTCTCTCTTGCCGAAATAGGCTTTTTTTTCGCCTTTGAGGTTTCAAACGGGCGCTAAACATAACCAGATGATCACCGAGGTCTGTAAATTCCAGCTGGCGGGAAAGTGGTCTGAAACATGCCCAGCTAATTATGTCAAGGAATGGAAAGAAAAAAGATGAAAATAATTTTAAGAACATATTTATAAGTCTCATTAAAAATTCGACAATCTGCTACTTTCCTCATGTCTTTAGGTAGTTTGTACCCACAAGTAGCCCCCCTAAAGGCCAGGGATTGCGGCCCAGTTTTCAATCTGTATCTTGGTAGATTCAAATCTTTTCGTATCACATGTTTCTATCGTAAAGAGCTAGTCTTGGTGTTTATTTTTGACTAAGATCTTAGTATGGTTCTCGACTATTGAGGTACTTACGGACCATGACGGAATCAATTAAAAGTAGTTATAATTCATTTAAAATATTTTCCCGATTCTGATTGGCTAAAAGCACACGTATAATTCACCATAACCAGCTACTGATGACCAAATTTGGAAGAATTTTTCTATTAATGAACCGATGACGTCAAAAGTGCAACTTCCTCGCAGGTTAATGCACCGTTAACCAAGAAGACCTGGGACGAGGTTGAGTTGTTTTGGTTGTGAAAACAAAAATGGCGAACATTTCACTCGTTTCAAGAGTAAGAACTAGGCGAAATAATAGCTAAAAACATGGCAAGAACAGTAAGAAGACAACTCGAAGGGCGACATCTGCTATTTGGAGAATATTTGCGAAGCTGAACAACCCTAAACGTGCACTATCGAAGATGAACTTAACATGCATCGATGTTTTTAAACTAGGAATTATTTTGAATGAATAATAAAACAATTATTGAATTCGGCTTTCGTATCAAATGAAGAATTATGGAGGTCGACGAGGAAAGTGTTATCCATAATTCTTAATTGTTAATTTATCAGCAATAGGAATCCATCTAAGTGACTTCAAGCCTTCAGAAAATATGATTATACTTCCTGAGGCCAAGAACTACCCTGTCGGCAAAGTTCTGAACCAATTGCAGTATATTTAATATGTTTTAGAGGTGTTACCCCATATGGTGGAAAAATAAAACATTTACTGAAAACAAATTAAGCGTTAATGTAAAAGTAGGGGAAATGGAAATTTTTAAAAAATAAAACGAAACCTCCAAATTTGTTATACTAGGCTGTTCCGTCCGGGATGTTTTCTCAGTTGTGTGGATCCAGGAATATGTTTCTCAGTATTTCCATGATAGCATGTCGAACATGTCTCATCTTCCAAGAGTAGATCAGAGGATTGAGAGATGAATTGAGGTAGGTCAGCATTTCAGAATAAAGCTCAAAATGCCGTAACACCGTAGTCGGTCTAGCGCTTAAGTACAAAATTTGGTAACACGTGAAAGGCAGATAACAAATCAGGAACACAAGATACACGTAGAATGTACCAACTGCAGTTTTTCTCTCCCTCACAACATTAGCTATATCCCCGCCATTATTCTGTGATAGCTGTTCCTGCAAGAAGTGAATATGATTGCTGTGGTGACGTACAGCTAAGTAAATCTTGACATAAAACAAGGCTGTGGTTAGGTAACAGACGCTATCAACAGCTACGACAATAAAGGCCTCAACATTCGGAGTCCATCTGAAAAGCAACGTTAGAATCGCACTCAATATCCAAATTGAGATCACCACAGCAACAACGCGCTTGTGAGTCACGAGTTCCTGGTATCTAAGGTGAAGATAAATGGCCAGGAATCTGTCTGCGGCTAGAGCCACAACAGCAAAGAATGAGGCATAAGTAAAAAAATATGCTGTGTTTTCCCAAAGGTGTGATACAATCTCGAAAGTTGAATTTTGGGTGTTTTCTCGCAACCGCATGACAAGCAATGTAGCGTATAAAGGTTGAACTAGTAAACCAACACCAAGATCAGACACAACCAGACTCATAAGCAATGTTTTTACAGCTTTTGGTATCGTCAATGGTTTTCTCAGAGCGAGTATTGTTACAATGTTAAATGTTATGGCGGTAAAACCGAAGAATGCGTTAAAAACGCAGTTAGCGATGATTGAAGCTTGCATCATTGCTTTGCTCATTAATGTTCAGAACTCTGCCTCCAGCACTTCTTTAGTTGTATAGTATGGTTCCATTTCCACGTATGACGTGCACATTTTTCTTTTCCTTTTACATTTATGCAACCGAGATAAAAGGCCTTAATTCATGACAGACAGTGATGGTTATCGAGAGTTATCTGTATGACGTTACCTGTTAAGTAATGGAATATTGGCTGCTTAAAAAGGAATTTTCTAACTAAATATTACCGTACAGGATTTATAAAACGCCAAAACTGGTGTTTCGAACGAGCAACGGCAATATCTAAAGGTTATTACGAGGTGATTAGTCTTCTTTATCTTAAGGAAATCCGGCTTCATTTTTCAAATATGTTTGTTTTATAAGGTGGCATTATTCTTCAGCTCAGTCAGGAGAGCGATATCAGTATTATTGTTCGTGAATAATTAATGTATTTAAGAAGGAGGGAACAGGAAAAACATGTTTGCTGTTAGTTCTGCTGGGAAAAGTGTTCAGCAAGCGATATGTGTTATAACTGAAAACTTGGCAGGATATATGTTTCAATTAAGTACGTTAGTAGAGTAGGATGAAAAATACGTACGTTTACGTTTTAAAACGTTTCTCGCACTCTCTCTTATGGAGCTCCATAAATTGTTAATCTTCCGAAAGGCTGCGCAAAACATTGCAGTTATTATTCAGGACATCAACACATTCTATCGAACTAGCTTGTTGTCTTTTAATTGCCTTCAGAGCTTTCTTTTGCCATGACAAAATTCACGACAGCTTTTCCCGGTAAAACTAGCGCGCGGATGACGTCAGAGTGACTAATTTGCAATTTTTGTCTGAGTTTTGTCATTTTTCTCATTTTAATGACAAAAGACAGACAAACATGACATTTATATGACAAAAGTCAGACAAAAGTGAGAAATTCGCTAATTTTAATTTTAGTTTGTTTGTCTGAGTTTCGGGTCTACAAATAGTAACTGCGCGCAGCGCTAATTGACGCTGTAAAGAAAGTGATGGTGCATGAAAACGTTCAGAAAAAATTGGAAATTTATCCCTGTTAAAATGCTGAGTTGTTTTCCTAAGACTACCAAATACGGAGCTGTCAGATGCAGCACCATGCAGTTAGTTCATGGAGATGGGATGTTTAATAATTTATAAGAATCATGAGACAATTTTTAACATTTTCACAAGGAGCTGGTTATTTTCAACCACAGACATGAACACCGCATGCTTCAGATGACACTTAATCTTGTAGGTTCTAGCAGTGAAAGTCATAAGTGGTAAATGCAGAATCAGAAGTTAAATCAAGAGAGAAAATCAAAAATGCTAATTCTTGGGAAACTTATTCAAACGTATTATGCCTAATAACGGCGGATCCAAAAAGGAAAAAATAATAGGTATTTACAAAACACAGTCAGTTATAAGACGGCCAGTACCGCTGCTGCATCTACCGCGGCTAATTTTTCTTGGTTATTTCAGGCGCAGTATGGAAGTTAGACGCTCCGGGTTATGGGCTCCTATAGGCGCCTGGTTATATTTATAATTATTTTTTTGGCGTCAAAAAAAACATGTTGCTGCATTTTTTTTATAAGTTTCCCTCCTCCATTCAATTGAGTCGTTTTTTAGTTAATTATTCGCGAGAGCAGACCTTCTCTGCATCCTTTACTTTAACAAAAAGCACCTTCATTATTAATAAAGCAGTATATTTTCTTCAAAGTAAATAAAAGGCAGATCCAAGAAATTGCTTCCTGAATTAAGTTTGATAACTTATCTAAAAACAGTTCATCGCACCTGCATGAACGGAACGTAAAGAACCACAGGGTTTGTTGCATAGCAGGTCTGCCGATTAACAGCAAATCCTTAACATCAAACATTTGTCTGTTTGTTTATTTACTTTTTACAATTTATTTATTTATTTACTGATTTTGTATACATAACATATACAAGGTGGAAAAACAATTATTCTAGGACTCGAAGTCTCCTACAAGGCCAAAGCACCCTATGTTTTCCTCTCATATTTTGCCAATACCGCTATCATTATCATTATTGTTCCGATAAGCGAAGAGTGCTTGTCAGTTCTGGTTATGGATGAACAGTATAGAGATGGATCATGAGTTTAAAACTGATTGGGTCAACAATTAAATTCGATCTTGTGTTGTCACAAATTGACAAACAACCGATCATACTTTGTTTTCTCTTTAACAGAATCCCTTGATAGCTTTCTCAGTCTTTTTGGACGTTATTAGTGTAGTTAAACATGACAGTATATACTTAAAGTTTTGACCATATATAATTTCAGGTCTGTTTTTTACCTGATTATCTATTCGACCTAGCTTTTTTCTGCCTACAGGAAAGGCAGGAAAGATTCTTTGAAAATGCAACCAGTTTTTGATGACATTACACCGTATTAGTTCGTCATGCTGGAGTGTCTCCGATGTTTTCCTAGTTCGCTTAATATCTTCTTAAATTTGTAGTGTACAAATTTGAGATCGTAAGCTCCTTAAATTTTGAATTTTGATGACCCTTTTTTAAGATTCTCAAGAGACTTTGAGCCAAACTCAGTGCGGTAATAAAATGTTGGCCAAATAATATTAAGTTTGTCCCTGAGCAAAGTAAAACCTGTTTAAAAACAAGTTAAGGCTCTCACACATTTACTGACGCTTATAACTGCTGCCTTCACAGTAATTTTCAAGGAGTTATAATAACTCCTCTAGAGGCGCTAATTTAACTCCTTACAGTGGAGTTATTTTTTGGGGAGTTATCTTAACTCCAAAAAGGAGTTTAAAGAACTCTTTTTCAGGAGTAAAAGTGACCCCAGATATTGAGGAGTTAAAATAAGCCCCAAAAAGGAGTTATCCTGTACCTAAAATTTTTACTCCGCGTTCAGAGTTAAATTAACTCCTGAAAGAGTAAAAGCAACACATGTAAGGAGTAAAAGTAACCCCAATGGGAGTAAAAAGAACTCTTTTTCAGGAGTAAAAATGACCCCAAATCCGGAGTTAAATTAGGAGTTAAAATAACCCCCAAAAGGGGGTTATCCTGTACCTAAAATTTTTACTTCATTTTTGGAGTTATAATAACTCCCTAAAAATTACGGTGTTAACGCGGCCCACCAGTTAATTTGCGCTCTTTCAGTCTTTATCGCGATTATTCAGTATATTCCCACCCACTTATTTTGTTAAATGTGGGCGAACCCAACTAAAATTGAATTCCTAGGGACTATATCCAAGTTCAACAAGAGAGATAAAATTTCGTCGTAGCTTGTTTACGTTCTCCATAAAACGCAAAATTCGACATTTTCACGTCATAGTCGTGCCCAAAGGGAAAAAAAAAATTACAAAAAAAAGTGTGATGCTCGTGTAGAGTTTTTGTTCTGCTTATTAAACCTATTGTTTGTTTGTTTGCTTGTTTGTTTTGTTTTGTTTTTTTAAAATTTTTCGTTGCCGTGGCGTCGTTGGATCTAAAGTCGCTAATGTTTCCTGCGAATCAAGAGGAAGTGATGTCATTCGTCATTTGACGTAGGCATCACGTGGACGCGCATGTTCGATGGAAAAGCAAACGGTTCGCTCTTCGAAGCGCAGCCTCCGGCCTGGAGAAACCACTACTCGCAGGGTACAGGGGTAGCGTCAGAGTAACGTGCTTTTCATGATCACTAGAAACCAATAACAATAACAATAGCTTCATAATCCTAAAGGGTATAACAAATATTCTGCGGCGGTCGCTTTCACGCTGGTAAAACAATGGACCTTATTCACGATGCCCGTCATCTTTGCACGCGCTTAAGGACTGATGGGATAAAAGCGATTTCACGTGGTTTCTCAAGGGGGGCAAATTTTCCAATACAAGAAATCAGGAACAGAAACAAGAAAAAACACAGAAACAAAATGAACAACTTTTTTATATTGAGACAATGATAGCAAATTATGGGTGGAAGTGATCATTTTTACTTTTTTTAGTGCAGTAACGACCGTAGATGTCCTCACAGCAAGCAATAAACTCAAACCGTGCATTTTGCATGACGCATGACTATTAAATCGTCGTTTCCTTTTGAGAGAATAAACAAAGTCGACCGCGATTTCTCGCATTGGCAAATTTTATCTTTTGTTTGCCCCCTGAAATACCACACTACATTGCTTTTGTCATGGATGATAGAAAGTCTTTCTATTATCTATGCTTTTATCCCAACAATTCTAAAGCGCGTGCAAAGATGCCGGGTATCGTGAATAAGGTCTATTGCTTTCAAGGGCTTAAATTACAGGTTTAGAAAGGACCCAAATGCTTTTTTTTTATTGTTGTATCAAATTTGAGTCCATAAGGACGTTTGTGGGACAGGAACGCGTGACGAGCCCCTAAGAACGTATGCGTGGGAGGCTAAATTTATGACGTTGCTTAAAATTCCGTAAAAAATTCCGTATTTTGTCACTATGCGCACGCGCACTGACTCCCGACAACCAGGCTAACCTAGGCTATGGATAGCTGTTGCGCCGGCACGAAAACAATATCGGAAGTAGCTTCTGTTCACACACCGGCGTAACGGTGTTTTCGGCGCGATTTCTGTAACGGAGCGAAGCTGCACCGCGCCGTAGGTTTTCACGTTATTCCGGTAGTGTAGCTCATATTAGCCTGTTCCAGGCGTTCACAGAATAGAGCGCGGTGTTCAGATGGTGTAGAGCGAATTAAATCGTACGCGGGGAAAGCGAGTGGAATTTTCACTTGCGTTCTACCATCTGAACGCTTGAAACAGGCTAAACTCATACAGTTCAAAAAGTTCAAGTTCAAAAAGTCCGGTATGGCACATGTACGAACATAGCCGGAGTGTGCCGGATCCATTTGCTGCATACGCCGCCTTTGCATTTGGTCGTTTGAATATTTTATTGTTTTCAAGCTTAAGAACAAAAAAATGCGCCAATTATGTTCGTAAACATAGTGTGAACAAAACTATATATAAAAATTAATGATAAACGATGTAATCACTAATGGGTGAAAGACTCTCCGGGCTCTGGGTGAAAGTGAAGGCCTAGAGGGGAACCCGTACTTCATGTTACGCACGCTTACGCCAAATACTATCGTTGACTTAGTAACCTCGCATCTTCCATGATGCTCTTATGCCCGAGCCAAGATGGCGGACGGCATGGAGGTTGATGTCGCTTCTGTTCTGTCGGCGGCAGAAAAAGATGCAGAAGGGAAATTTAAATCTGTTGATGTGACGAAAGACATAGATCCAGAATTAGATGTTGGAAATCTGTCGGCCATCGATCTTCAACCTATTGATTTACGTGAGTTGAGGTGAGTTTAAACACATGTATTGTAAGTGGTACACGTGCAAGGTAAGCATTTACAAATGATTGTTGTTTAGACTGGCAAAGAAAAAATATTATAACTTTAAATGAGCAACATTTACTTCAGAATACAGAGCCAAATTTTAAGGTCTTAAACAGAAGTGACTTGGTGGCTCGCTTGTCATAAAGTCTAAGAGTGTTTTGATATTTACAGTATGTGGTCCTTGGAACTCTAAATTCGAGATTTCTTAATTTAAGAAAAAAAATTAAAACAAATCATATAAGAGTTTGTTCTTGTAAATTGAAACTTCCTGTTTAAATTACGAGAAAAAGAGTTCTTATTCTATGATTTGTTTTGAATATCTTTTCGTAACATGTATAGGGTCATAGGTCTTTGGACCAAAGGACCACTAGGTCATGGACCAAAACTACTCGAAATTTGGTGAAAGTTTTGATTTGATGATAGTTTTTCAATGTGCTTCCAACGGCAGAAAAAGTTGAAAACCTGTTTGGCAAAAAACAAAACATTTGAAGTCTGCAGAAAGAAAGGCAAATTAACCTACCTGTCAACAGACTTTAATTTCACGCCTCTACCCACACCAGGAAAGCCAAAACTTCGTCATACAATAGAATAATAAACAATAAATCATGCCTTTGATTTTTCTTTGTATTCTATTTCTCGATGAAATGTTTAATCATGTTCTGAAAAGTCACGGACCAAGGACCTCGCGGGCCAAGAACCATGTAATTTATTGTATTTAGATGTAGATCAAGATGTCCAGTACAAAGAACATTCAATTTATTCTCCTTTCGTTGTCGCTCAAAGAAATCTATCATCCTTGTTTATACTTTACTGTATGTTGTAACTGGCCTTTATTCATGGAAACCTTTTTTTCCTTGTCTCTTTTTTAGGAAGAACAAGGAAGATTTCCTGAGGAATCTTGCCAGAGATAATGCGCAGTTACTGTTTAATGCCATTTGGAAAGTAAGACTGATATTATTGATAATTTTGTAATATACACATGTAGAGTTTTTTGGTTTCTGTATTTTCTTTGGTTGTCAGCTCAATGCTTCTTATACTTAATTGTATAATTATTTATTTTTGTTGAAGAACTTCATCAGGCTAGAAATACCAAAAAACTTAGATTTCTTGAACATAATTTACCAAAATTAGTTCTGATGTTAGTAAGAATGATACATGTAGCTGCCGTCTTTCTCAGTATTAATGACTTGTTTATATTTCAGCTGCCTAATGAGAGATCAGATGGACTTGTTCTTGCCAAGGTGAATTGTCCTGTATATAGTTATGAACTAAAAGTAACCTTTCACACAGACAATCACTCTTAGGGCTTGCCATGATGACATTTTCTTACGAGGAATGGGTGAATACATATAAGTCCTATAAGAATGTCTGCATAGGACCTGTTACTATTAAGGAAAATTGGCAACCAAAATAAGTTAATTTCATCGCCCTGTTTTCCTTCCACAGGTATAGCTAATGGCCAACCTCAATCAACATAAACATAAACCTAAGTTATGTATTTAACATGGTCAAATGCGTGTAGCTTAAAAGCTACTTTACAGGCATGCCATGAAAAATAAAAATAAAACAAATAGAAAAAAAAAGATGTGTATTACCTATATAAAAATGTATATTTATAATATTTAAGAATTTTTGAATTAAGCTGAGTATCATCTGAAGAATTATTGAGATCGAGGAGGGTGTTATCTGATGAGGCCTACATGTATGGCCTCGTCAGATAACAACCTCCCAGTATGATAATTCCTCGTTAAAAGCAAGCTAAAAATATTCTTACAGCTGTACCTCCATAAGTTCATCTTTGACAGTGCATGTTTATCAGCAAGTTTAGGAGAGACATGTGAAGGGTTTTTTCGGGTCTGCAAATATTCTCCAAATAGCAGATGTCGTCTTTTGAGTTGTCTTCTTGCTCTTCTTGCTATGTTTTTAGCCAATAGTTCCCCTGTTTATTCCTCGTGAAACGAGTGAAAATTTATGTTCTGCCATTTTGTATTCACCACCAAAACAAGTCAACCTTGTCCCAGGTCTTCTCGGTTAATCATTCAATAATCTGGCAATTTTGCTACTTGATTGATGTCAGATGATAAGAAAGACGAATTCAGTAATTGTTTTATTATTCATTCAAATAAAACCTAGTTTAAAAACAAGCTACAGTAAAACATGCTTACCTCCATCAATGTTAAGTTCATCTTCAATTGCCTGCTTATCGGCAAGTTTAGGAAAGAAAGGGTTGTTCAGGACTGCAAAATAGTATTCTTCAAATAGCAGATGTTGTCCGTCGATTTGTCTCCTTGCTGTTCTTGCTATTTTTCTAGCCAAAAGTTTCCTCATCGACTACCAAAGCAGTTTCTCAACCTCCTGCCCAGGTCTTTCTGGTTAACTGTTCAGTTTTCTGGCAATTATGCTGCCCAATAGACATCATTTTCACATATTGCAAAATTCTTCCAAATTTGGTCAACAGTTGCTGATTATGATGAATTATGTGTGTGATATTAGCCAATCAGAAATGGAGAAATAATCATTTTGAATGAATAATAATTATTATTTTTAAGGAGAAGTGGATAAATGATTGTCCTTAATTATTGAATGATTGAAATGATTCTTATTTTGTGTCTTTAATGTTTCTCTCCAGTTGCCTGAACCTAGCACTGTTATTCCGAGAGAGAAACCGGTAGGTGCATCCACACAGTATCAGGCCTGGTAATTAGGGCTCTAACTTGACAGCTTTGCTAACAAAGATTTTTTTATTTTTTGCGATTAAGTTTTACTAGTAATGAATACATGTATTTTATAATTGTTGGTAGTATTAAACATTGAAAATCACAATGTGGAAAAATGCAAACACGAATCTGTCACTTTCACCATGTAAACATTCGCTTAAAATGCCACAAATTTGCATAATTTTGAAATGAATGGCATTTTTAAAATGTCATCTTATGGTAATTTCACTGCAACCTTTGCTTGCTTTTAAAATCTTGGCAAGAAATTACTATAGTCCCAGAACCATATCTATGAAAGTTTAAACTTTGCCTGTGCTTGGTTGCTAAACCAATCTTACATGTATGTGCTATTAAAAGCACTTATACATGTAGCATGTAACCAACAGTGACAAAAAGTGCTCCTGCAGATCAGAAGTCGCTACCCAACGTGACTGTCTTGAAGAATGATTTTGTTTTGCAAGCACGTGGTTTTTGTACAGACTATTCATTGCCAGTAAGCTCATGTCCTCTCAGAGAACTAGTTTTTTATCTTGAGTGAAGGGTAACAAGGGATCAAACTAGCACGCCAAGTATGCCAAAATACAGCAAGCAAAATAAATTAGGCTCTTCTGGCAGTACATGCAGTGCTCCTGAAAAAGCAAAGGAGTGCCTTTGCCTGCCAAAAATTTATGTGAAGAAATCCTCTCTGCTTACCCAATAGAACACAAACATTAATACACATTTACCTTTAGGTTCTACTCAATACCGATGGCCTTCATTACTTTTTAGCTACATTGTCTGATACTATTTACTCCGAAATATCTGCTTGTCATTAACCATTATTTGCACCTTTGTAATGCAGATTCCTAAACCAAAGTTGCCAACAAAATGGGAGGAGTATGCCAAACAAAAGGTACAAAAACTCAAGTTCTAATCCACCTGTTATTGTATTATGTAGTGGTTTAATTTTATCCATGGTTTAAATGTTATTTTTCTTTGTTTAAGGGAATGGCATATTGGTTTGAAACAATGAAAATAACATTAAACCAGGGATAAAATTGAACCACAGCAGATATACACAGTGACTATTGTTTTTGGTTATTGAGTAAACTTGCAGACACTTACAATTTTTTTCTCGGTGAAGGTGAAAATCTTTCTTACACTTTAATCTACAGTGTACTGTAACAATTTCGTGACATCTTCAGAAAATAATCGGTGGTTAGGAGAGTTTTAAAATGGCTATTATTTTTTATATTTCTGTTTGCTCCACAGGGTATCAAAAGAAGGAAACGAGAAAGAATGGTTTTTGATAAAAATACTCAGGTTTGTACAATTACTTGCTTGTACAATCATGTAGATTATAACTTGTTAAGAGTATGATATCGCTATAATTTATTCCTGGGGTTCTATTATCATATTTTATGTATGAAATAGCTAATCTTTAAGCCATTGTGAAATATTGTAATTAAAAAATGAGTTTTTAGTCCAAAATTGATCCTTAGAAATAAATGTTAATTTTGTTGCTGTCTGTGACTCATCTAAAAGACAAGTTCCCTATTTAAGTATGAGATTTTTTTTCCCTTAGAGTACAAGAATGCAGCTTGACAATTTTTAAGTACATTTTACATGTGGGTGTATTGTGTCTCAATTTGCTTTGGTTATATCTTGATTAGGAGTGGAAGCCTCGTTATGGGTACAAGAGAGGAAATGATAACTCTCAGGATTGGCTTTTGGAAGTTCCTCAAAATTCAGGTACAGTGCCTCTTGTTTACTTTTGCTCAGTAGACATTGCTTTAATAGTTTTCTTGTGGCCCTTGCCAGTTACAATGTGGATGTTACATGTACCTCTCTTTGTGACAATAAAGTGACAGGGACACTCTACTGCTGTGTTGATGACACCATTCTTCATGTATTTCAGGTGCACTCGCACCAGTTTGATGAGTCTGTCCCATTCCTGTCTATTAGCCATTAAAGATGAAAGTTCCTGCCTTGTAAGACTGTTGTTACTCTCTTCGTGTAGCTGGGCAATGAAGATTGTTGCTGGACACTCCCTTGAGCATCTTCCTTGTTTTGGTTCCCAAAGAAGTACAGTAATTGGTTTAGAAACTGTCTCATTCTTGCTTCTTCAACAATTGCCACTAAATCGCAGGCAGCATATCTAGGGACTTGCCCATGAAGAGCTCTTTGTTAGATATATATGACATGTGCTTTTTCCAGCAGCACATATATAAGCCTTCCGCAGCAGCCAGCAAGTTGTTTTCCAATGCAGTGGTCAATGTCCAACTCTCCAACCCATACAATACATGTAGCACACACCACAAAGATGATTATCTTTGTTATTTTTGTCTAGATCCCTATGAGGACCAGTTTGAGAAAAAAATTCAAGCAAAGAAAGAGAGAATTTCTAAAAACGAATATCAGAGATTAAGAAACATAGCAAAAAATAAGAAGATTCCAGGTGAGGAGGTTACATAATCATTTATGTTGTCAAAATCTTGTAGCACTATGGTCATCACCTACACTGTACATGTATAGTCTTATTGTATTCTTGCAGTTTTGATGATTCCTCTGGCTGCTGTCACATCATGTGAAAACGCTCTATAGGCCATTTTACAATGACGCTAGAGTTGACCTTGTTTTGATACAACCCTCACTGCTTTCTTATGTAAATGACAATCATGATGTTCTTTGCTAACTAGTATTTTTCAAGCATAATAAAATATTTATATTAGAAAACAAAGGAGGTTCATATCAAAACAAGGTCAACCTCAGCCTCACATTTAGTCGAAGGTTTAGGGTACTAAACCCACAACTGTAAAATGGTCCATTATTCATTCAACAGCTACACAGTACTTTTACAAATATATAATTAGTATGAATAACACGTGCTAATGGTGTTAGTATAGGTAATAGCATGATTTGTAGTGATATTTGGCATAAATACCACGAGTGATATTTCGAAATTGTTATACGTAATTTCACGAGCCGTTAGGCCAGTGAAATTTGAGACAATTTTGAAATAATTATGACGAGTGGTATTTATGCCAAATATCACGTACAAATCATGCTATTATTTGTTTCTACTACTACCTACAAAAGGTTTGTAATTTTCACATGTAGGTATTTCAAATTAAGCTGAAATACCACTGCTCTAAGCCAATCAAATTGCAGAAATTTCTCATGTAGTAGAATTAAGGATGTTATACCTGGCATAAATACCATGAGTGATATTTCAAAATTGTCTCAAATTTCACTCGCCTAACAGCTCGTGAAATTATGCATAACAATTTTGAGATATCACTTGTGGAATTTATGCCAAATATCATTACTAATCATGCTATTACCTATACAAAAACTTGCTTTGTTCTCTTTTTTTTTCAGTTCCTAATAAAAACCTGGAGCCATCATCTGGACGACAAAGCAAGGACCAGGTATAGACAGGCTTTGCTGGCTTTGTGGGAATGTAATAAAATTTTGTGCTTTTTAATATTAATTTTTTGTTGTAAAATTAATTCAACTTAGAAGTTTTAGCCTGAGACAAATAAACGTAGATGGTTTGTAGCTGTTTTCTGTTGGGAAGTGCACATGATCTTGTGGTTTGTTCAAATTGACCCCCGTTTTAGTTTTGGTGTAGATAATAACTCCTCTTAAAATTATTCTTCATAGGTGACTGCCAAGTTGAATATCAGCAGACTGTCAACTGCATCTCTCGGAAAATTTACTGAAAAGCTGGTAAGAATTTTGAACTGTTTCAACAAGACATTTGAGACTGTTGCAGGTGTTTAAATGGTGGAGAATGGTTGTACACGTGTTGTTCCTGACCACTACATGTATTTCAGTGTTTCCTTTCTTCTCTTCTTCATGCAGTCCCTAGTAGATGGACACGTACCAAAACACTTGAATCAGTCTACAACCTTTTGTATCTGTTTTCTAAAAAGAATTATAGAACTCATTTACAGATGTACAAGTGTAGTTCTCAGATCTATGTATGATCACGCTAGTAATTCTCTAGTGAAATAGCAAATTTTGATGCAGTCAAGACTGATTGAGTGTAGTGTAGAGCACTAAAAAGACAAACGAGCTCTATAAAAGGTGCGGTAAAGAAGAAAACTGAAGTGTACATTTCCGTACTTGATTGTTGTGTGTTTTGACTTCAGCCAAAAGAAAAGATACAAAGGAAAACTGGCAAGAAGCGAAAGGTAGGGTGGATTAATTATGCAGAGCGTAGCAGTTTTTGTCTCATTAACTATAAATTGGTATGTTTTCCAGAACCTTGAATGTTATTTGACTCATGGGTTCACAAAGTATACTGTACTCGGACTACCCACCTTCGAACCTGTCTTGTAACAAAAAAGCGTGCAAAGTTTTTTTTTTCGTGTTTAGTAAAACTGGCAACATCGCTATTCAACTAGTTTTGCAGCAATGTTGCAAAACAAGTTGTACGTTTTTTGTTGCTCGTTTTACCATCGGAATCCACTCTTGTCCCCAGTCTCTCTGAAAGCTACTAAAACTGAGGTCTTTTTCTATACTTGAGAAATCCCCGAGGTCTGATTTGAAACTAGTATTTGCCTTTTCTTGGCATCTGTTCAGGTATTTTCTGCTTATTTTTGATAATTCATTGTAGTTTGAACCAGTTGTGGGTGACATGTCGAGTGAACGAAGCCGAAGTATGGAGTTGGCTGAGAAAATTGCCAGGAAAGAACCTTTAGACATTAATAAGGTACTTTAATACCGTATCCATGTGTTGTTATCTTTTTGCGACCTTAAAAACGAGGAGGAAACTGAACCGAGTACTTGTACGCGTTCGCAAAGACTTGTGGGATCGTGTTAAGCTACATATGCCAATCCTAATAACAGTCCCAGAAGTCTTTGCGAAAGTTCACCCGGCCCAGTTCTAAAGTGGTGACAAATAAGTGTACTTACATGTAAATCGTGCGTGCTTACTCTTTTGGGTACTAATTGTGTGCCGGTTTTCTGACTTTATGTTAAGTTCATTCACTGACATTTTATGTCTTTTTCAGGCCGTAAGTCAGCACATCACGGAAACACAGAAAAGGTAATTGTTTCAAGTCACTACAGCTTTATAAATTCTGATTTTTTTTCTCGAGCTTTTAGCCTAGTTGAGAAACGGCTTGGGCGGGCGTGAGTTTTCCGTCGCTTCTAACGCTGCGCGCTCCACCTGAAAGAACGTGTGGGTATTAAAAATTTACGTTTTTAGGAACACTTTCAGTCTTAGATGACTTGTCACTCTCACTTGAAAATCTGTTGACGAAATCCTATGGTGCCACTAGTCAAATGAAACCTCTGGCAGAACTTTTGCATGGTGAAGCTACAGTGGAAACTCTCGTAAGCGTACACCCTCAGGACGCAACGCGAGAAAAATGTCCGTTACTGGAGCTGGCTATAAATAAAACTGTTTGTTAGTGTTCCGTTGTGCTGTTGTTCTGACAATGTTGTAATTCAGTCACAAGCATAAATTTAATAAAATACAAGATTCAGAGGCGAACCACATTTCATTTCAGGTTTTCGCTCACTCGTAAAAACCCTGAAATTATCCGCGGCCGCCTACGGGAATTGTCCGCTCACGGGAATGTAAAAATACACACGGTTTGTATGGGAGTTTAAACGGAGTTTCGTGAAGGCGGTCATCAGTAGCGCTGTCCGCTTACGAGAGTGCCCAGTAAGATAGCTTCCACTGTAAATTCTTTGGATTCTACAGAAAGAAGTTTGGATTTTTATTTTTTTATTTTTTTACATTGGCCACTGTTAGGAATGAAAGAGTACATTCAAGGCAAGGGGAAAGGGATAAAAGTTTCTCTGAATGAATTGATTTACTCATCCTATGTCTGTATAGTCTGCGAGCAAGCTCTCTATTTTGAATGCAGTGGCGAGCAAGAGGCGCTTTCGTGTGCCCCTCGCGTGTGACTTTTCACGGTAATTATCCTGCAGCTGAGGAGCTCATTCAGTGACTTACTCACTGACGCCGGCTAGAGGGCGTGGTGCGGACCGCCATAGCCTAAAACGAGCGCTTTACACTAAGGAGACTTGTGTAATGCTACCTTTTGTTCAGATTTTCTTCTCTATTTTTATTTATTATTTTTTTTATTTTTATGCTCATATTATTGCTTTTCAAACATTTTCAGATCGAGTGGATCCAAAAAGAAAGGAAGTATTAAAGGGAAAAAAGGAAAAGGAAAAATAGGCGGAAATACGATAAACAAGACTGGAAAAACAGGAAGAAAATCAGGAAAGAAGAAGACGAAGACCTAAAATGGAAATTTGTGACAACGAAATTCGCTCTAAATAATTTTTTACAGAAAAAAAGAAGGAAACGAAAGATTGCTTCAAGGTGGTGTTTAGCCCACCACCGAATGGTGGCCTCGGTGTCGGTGACTGTCATAGGTACTAATAACACAGTAACTCGTAAAGGGGTGCATGTTGTTATTGGGTTGTCCCTTTTTTAGGACAATTTTGTGCTGAATTCATCATTAAGTGCGTTTACCCATACATTGAATGATCCTGTAAAGTCAAAAAGAAAACTTCAAACAAATTTCGCAAGGGAGAACCTAACCGTAATCATTACTTCGGTCATTTTTGCAGGCATGACATTAGAGCTTGAAAGAGTTGGCCCAATTTTTTCAAAGTGTTAATCAATGTCCGTCCGTGCCATCTGCAGCAACAGAAGACAGGAAACAGTTTCAATGCCCAAATTCGTCTTAAATAACAAAACTGGACTCTTTTTGGAATTAAATTGATGCGATGACACGTTTTAGCTTTTTAAAGAGGGCAATGGGCATGACATTGCTCTTGATGAAAAACTGAACAAAAGTTGCTTACAGAGCAGTTTGCAATTGAAACCTCTTTGACGCATCCAGTTGTACTAGGTATCGACGAATGTTTTTTAATATTTTCGTAAATAAGTCATGGAAAGGTAGAAATTCCGCGGAGATGTATTTTACCATCTATCGACTGGATACGGGAAGGTTATTCCAAAGCTATTATGGCCTCATAAAAAGGCTCAATAAATATTTGACAAACCATGTTGTTTCAATACATTGTACTGTAAACTTGTTTTGTTAGTGAATCCAGTTCACGACTTGAAGACGAAGTGTCGGTTATTTAAACGAAGTCTAACCTAAGCCGCGGTTTAACAAATCTTTGGACGTCCAGGTCTCTTCCTTAGTGGGTTATTTTAAGAAGATAAATGCTCTCCTGGTCTACTCTATATGCTTTCAAAAAACTTTTCACAATAACTGGTATTCAGATAAAACCATTGGGTCAATTGAAAATGGCTTTAAACGCGGTTTTGTTAAACACTGGCTAAACTATACGTTTAAATAACTGGCCCGAAGTGTTTAGCACCACTGAGTCTTAAAGTACGTTCTCTCAAATAAATGCACCTTACATTCTTTTTTAAGCTTGTGGTAAACGCCCCAGTCTATAGCCTGCGACCCAAATAGAGAACTCCATATAGTCGGGGATTTAGACTGTCTGCGACGTAGGCTACCCTGCTGTCTATTAAACGCCCCATTTCTAACTGGCGGCAAGCGTGGCATTGCCTCACAGTTCACGGTAAGAAAACTGTGGTCTGGATAGTCAGCTATTTATGATTAAATATCTTGCCCAGGGCCCACGGAGCAGTTTCCAAAGTGCGGCGGGCCGCTGACCATGTTCTTTGAAGTTGGGGGGCGGGGGCGGCAACTTTCTCTGTTCTCTCTTTTTTTGGCTGTTTAGAACTGTCAGATTACTAAACCCTTTTTGAGTCATTGTTGAGCAGCGCCATGTTTATAAATTGCATGCCGCTGAAAAGGACCTTTCTCCCGCTGCGCCTGATTACACGTGCAGGATTCATCATGTATCACAACCATTGATCAAAACTTTAAATTTCCAGTCTAGAATAAAAAACCGTTAGGGACCACATCACATTCTTAGCCGATATAATTCGTCCTAAGACTGGACCGCAATTCCGTGGAGTAGTCTTCAAATTTAATCGAGAACCTTCATAAAAAAAAACTCAATTCCGCATCGTTGCATATGCTACCTAGCCTTGATGGTTTGAAAACGTAGAAGTCTTGGACTAAGTGCAGTTTTGTAAAGATAGGCGTTTTGATATTTACTACGCATCAGATATAGGATTGAAACGGACCAATGATAAGTTTAGATGCTGGGGGATTCTTATTCCAGCAAAATGCATTTTATATGAAAATGTTTATAACAGTGGAACCTTGGTATAACGAACTACTTCGTTTCAACCCCGGAGATAGTAAAATTTATGGCAATATGAAAAAGAAACTCGAAGTAAGTTACCGAACCTCGTTATAACGGACATATTTTGCTAGTCCCTTGGCCGGCCCTTCGTTATATCGAGGTTTCTCTGTACTTACTTTTTCACAAAGTAGGGTTGCAGCCCCTCCCCCTACGCGGGTTCTGTTTCTTGGAACTCGTGCTTTAGTCGCGACACCTTCGGGAGTCTCAAAATTTGACTTTTCCGACAATTTTCTGTCCAAGAATTCAGCGCAGATACAAAACTTCACGAGTTGGCACTACAGAGGGGTAAACTTGTTAGACTGTAGAGTGTTATGTACTGAGCGGAATTCTAAAAGAGCGATTTATAACTGAAGATGTAAGGCTTTAATTTCAGGGATGACAGATTTTGCTCATTTATTAACGATTATATCCAGCTGACAAACTTTAAATTGCAAAATCTACTCAGTACATAACACACTAGAGGTTTTGACCGATCATTTATTAATAAAATCACAGAGTGCTGTCTTCTATTCTTTTTGCAAACTTGGACACAAAATCACGATTTCCCCGGCAATTTGATACAACTGTTAAGGCATCGCCGTAAAGCGCGATCTACAACCCTCCTAAACCTCCATCATTTCACAATGTCTCTGTTAAATTTTATTAAAATCGCCTCTAAAACAGCCGAGATGTAAGCTTTTTAAAAGATGTAGCACAAGCAAAATTTTACTTTATGAATCTATTCATAGATAGGTGTCCCCCGCGGCCTCACTAAGGAGAGAAGGACCACCTGATCGCAGGTTATGTTTGTTACAGTTTTAAATTTAATAGACGCCCCTGGCGTCCATTATATCATTTATTGTATATAGACAACCTTCTATGAACCTTCAGTTGTTCTTTACTAAAGTTAAGGTTTGTTTAAATTGTATGCTTGTTAGGCAGAAGACAACCGTGACCAAGTACAACCGTGACCAAGCTGGGGCGGACCGGGAGAAATTTGTGATGCAAGGGGGCCTAGAGATATAGTATACAGTGGTAATATAGGAGCGATAGCGCCTAGCCTGCGTAACAGGCGGCAAAAGGGGTAGTGGATAGGGAGGAAGGGAAAAAGGAGGGATAACGCCCATTAGGACTTCGAACGGCGCACTTTTCTAGGGAGTTTAGGGCGCATGCTCCTCCGGGAAAATTTTTGAGACTGAATTTCTCTGAGATGCAATCTAGTGCATTCTGGACGCTTGAATTTAGCAAATGCCTGGATTCCATTTTGAACATGTTATGCTCAAATATTTACTAAACCACAGGTGTAGTTGTAGTCAAAGAAGTAGTTAACACTTTATGATGCTAGCAGGTGCTGAAGAGATTGCGGCGAGAGCACAACCTCCCGGCAAACGCGGCAACATTGTCCCCCTGAAAATTGTCAAATCCAGTTTGTTTGAGACGGATATATATTTAGTGAATGTATTCTGGGAACTTTGGTCATTTGCGACTAAAAATGTAGGCTTCGAACACAGATTCTTTTCTTACTAACAATATTTATTAAAGAAAATGTATTTTTATGTAAGTAACAAAACTAGAAGTACCATCCGACAAACGTTTACAAAAGAAAAAAATTCCTGGACAAAAGCGGGAACCGGGGCCCCCTGGGCCCACCCCTAGATCCCCCCTTGATAAAGAAAGATCTCCTCACTTGTATTCTATAGTTTTCTGGTTCTGTGGGAAATGTCAGGCTAGCACCTTTGGCCGGATCTCGACCCCGGGGCTGATCATGTTTCTCGAAAGTCCCGCTAAAAGCTAAACCTGTTGAATAATAGCACAGTTCCTATCTCACAAACCAATTCTGCTTAGCCAACTGATCATCTCGTTGTATTATTTTCAAAATTATTGAAACTTCGATCTTGAATGCAAACTTGGTAAACATAAAACAGCTTTCCAGGCCCGACTGCCGGGTCTTTCGAGAAACGAGCCTCAGAGGCCTGAAAAGCTTTTTTAAGCCTGCCGCGTCTTTGTGTCCATTATCGAAGTTTAAGAGAGCTGAACATTCTCTCTTGCGAAGTTTTAATAGTTTGAAAACAATACCAACAAGCCATCAGTTTAAGAAACAAAAAGAACTGGTTCGTGAGCTTAGACAGCCACTCTCTCTGGATGAATGGTCCTCGAATGATTCCCCCGTCCGGCGCGCGTGTCTCGCGCTCCACGTTCACTTCGTGCTCGCCTGAAAAAAGAACGAGAAGTCCGAAGACTACAGCAAAGCTGATTTAAAACAACGTGTATTGTTTTTTATAACAATATTTCGGCTGACCATACCAGCCTTCTTCAGGTTTACAGATGTTACTGAACTTATGTAGCAATCACAATATCATATAGATGGAGAATGTCGCAATAAAAGGGAGAGGCGGAAATGACGTACAACATAAAAACTGGATAGGAAAAATACTAAGGATATGGATTACAAAAAAAAAGGCGAAAAAAATAGCACCTGTTCTGCAGGCTAGGGCCGGCGAGGTGAAAACTCGATTTTGAGAATAATGCTGACAAAAGAACAAGAAGTCAAGGTATCAAGCAGCCTGTCTACCTACGCCCCCTCCCCTTCCCCCTTATGCTTTCTGAGGGGAGAGGGGTGGTTGCAATTTCTGTTCTAGGTATCAAGGAAATATGTACATACCGGCTCTTGACATAAAAAGAAAATTCAAGTAGACCTGCACCGTTCTAAACCTTTTCATTTCGCTGGTCCCCTTCAATCTGCACCTCCATTGTTTTCAGGGATAGCGGCATTGTTATGTGACAATCCCTATTGCTTTCCAGCTAATCAATAAAAATCTTTCAAATAGGTACGGGATCGCCCCTCTAGGCTCGATTTCCACCGTCTCCCGGGTCCGGTCTCGGGGGATGAGTGTGGGCTCATTTTCCCGAACAGCGGCTGGTAATCGAGCCTATCGCCCGTCGATCGCCCAAAAATTCCACCGCCGGCCGCCCGCCCCAGTCTCCTTAAAATGGTGTTTCCGAGAAACGACCGAGAAACCGAAAAGAAGCTGGGGGCTATGTAAATTTCCAACCAAGATGGCGAAGCTGGGTGATGCAGAAGTAGGAAGGAAAACTCACGTTAAACTGCCTTGAAAAATGGGAAACGTAACAGCCGGAGGGGTCAACGAAGGAGAAGACGATGAAAACGAGTATTTTGAGGTATTGTTTTTGTTGAATTGTTAATTAAATCTCCTCTTCTGATGCGATGATGTGTGATCACCTGGGCCTATGGATTTTACAGCTGAATTCAAGCTTTGGTTAGGAGAAAACCCGCAAGGAAAGTAGTCATTTTTTTAAAAAAAAAATTCTTTAAAGCAGATGAAATTCAGTGCCTGAAAAATTTTGCAACGGTAGCTTTCATAACGGAGTGTACTTAAATAATACCTAACATTTATCATTTGCGTTTTGAGGAAGCATGACTTGATTCGCAGATGAGTGGCTTTGGAATTTATCACTGGTCATTGACTGTTTAAATAACTTCCTCTATTCTTTATAACGGTATTGTTTTGCATAATAACTCGGCCGCTTTCATTTGGCGTTGAATTTTTGGCGTTGACTTTTTGCAAGAAGTCAATGCATTTTAATGTTATGTGCCACTATATAATATTCATCGATGTTTTTCAGCCAAATTTAAAAAACTTTACTAATCACTCTAACATTAATTCTTAATTTTGATAGGCTGGTTGTAATACAATGTAATATAGGCATTTTTAAAGCGGATTTCAGTCAAAACAGTGTAATTACTGTGAATCCTCAGTTTTACGAACCCCATACAATGAACATCCTACATATAACAAAAGACATTAGCAGGTATGGTAAAACCCATGATAAACTGCACTCTCATTATAGAAAAATGATTCTCCATTCCTTTAGCCTCTTACGCAGATGTGTTAGGGTGGAAGGTATGATGAAGCTCCGAAGACCATCTACGTAGGAGGCTTGGCACCTGGTTTTACTGTGGTTTCCCTTTTAACCAGAAAGATCTGGAGCCATGCAGTTGCATAAAACTCAGTGTCTGATATAACAGCAAATACCTGATGTTTGGCCCAGTCAAACTCTTTATTTTAACTCCAGATACATGTCAGTAGTTACATCTGACATTACCTTACGTTTCACTTTACGGAATGTTAGGTTGAGGCTTAGTGTCCTAATCTGCAAAGGAAAAAGAAAACTGTTAAAGTAATTGTTTCAAAATTTTTCTTTCTATTTTGATGCAGGATGGACAGGAAGCAGGTTCTGGCTCATCAGGTATGGATGTTATGGTTAAAAGAAACAAAAGTCATAATATGCAGACCAATATTTAGGCAAATGCACCTTGTGCAATGCTGTTTTATTCCTTCACAGGGTGAAAATATTATTACTATTTTTGGATTTGAAATTATACTGCACAGAGTGTTTGAAATCTAAAGTCTTGTTGTTGCATCTGTAAAAAAAATATAGTATTAATGTCTTACTCAAGAGAATATTCATATTCCCCCATCCCTCCTCCTACCCCTCTTTACTCTCTGTCCTCTTTTCTTGTGCTGTACATTATTTTTATGAAAGCACAATTTTTTCATGTGAATTTAGGCTTTCAAAAGGAAAAAAAATGAAGAAATGTTGCATTTATAACCATGGCGATATATGTATTTGTTTCACTTCACTTACACTTGTATGCAAATTATCCTTCATTCAGCGGATTTCGCCGGAGACAAATATGTCACCTTTAATTTCTCAGATGCTTGCTTTTTTGTGCGCCCTGATTATTTTGACCATCAAGATTTTTTAAGCTTTGCCTTGACCCAGCCTTTTCACCCTAATGTTTTTTTTTTGGAAAGTTATGAGAAATGCTGTAACTGAATAAAGTCACACAACACGCTTTAAGATCGCCTAACTTGATCTTTCTGGTATCTTTTGTTCTTCTATTGTCTCCAAAACAATCAAGATGTTTCACCAATTTCCACCTAAAATAATAGGAGACATATGATTGACAGATATTTGCATTTACTATTGACACTTATGTGTAGGCACAATTCCATACTGAAAGGTGACCACCTAAATTACATGTTTGATTGTCTTGTGTTTCCATTTCAGTTACTGACCTGTTTCCAAATATTTTTTACTTGGCAGCTGATATTACTTATCAGGGAGCTTTAGACCTTGCAGTACTGTTTGATCATGGCCTTCTCCGGGATGCCGCCTCAAAAATAAAGTAAGAGATTGCTTAATTTGATTTTACATGAACAAGTTGGGAATTACAGTTGAGAATTTTTGAAACAATAGTTTCATTGTTGTTACCCTATTATACATATGAATTACTGATAAAGTGGTTATTTCTCTCTATTTTTTTTTTAAGAGAGGAGCCAAGTGAGTCATTTCTGCAGCAGCATTCCTCTAGCATTGTGCGATGGCTAGAAGAAAGAACGTCCAGGCATGAGGTTAGTACTGTATGCTAGCCAGGTGCTTGTACATTGTACTTGTCAAAGTTTTTGCTTCATAATTTTACAATTTTTTTCTTCTAGTGGGTTTTCTGGTTGCAATTCCTCTTGTTATTTCCCAAAACCATCTTATAAAATTAATAAATTAAAACATGACATTTTTCTTTACTATAGGAATTTGTCAGCCTTTCCCAGTTTACTGACATGTTGACGGGAAGAGGAGCAAGCAAGGAAGACTGTTTAGAGGTAATTAACATATTTGTTGCTGTCATTTATTATTACTCTTATTTTTCTATGTTTTTTTTAGGTACACTGTAAATTTAAATCTTTACCGGTTAAAATCTTTTTAACTGATGAGTACTAATATTGATATAGTTCTTAACTACACTAGGTAATAAGGTAAAGGGCAACTCTGTCATTTGTTATGCTTCTCTGGTGACTGTAATCTATACTCTATTCCTTGTGAAGCGAAGATCACGCGTGGATCAGAGCTGCCTACAAACTTAGGTGGCCAATATATATTTCTTTGTATACATCCCGTGATGTCCATCTGCCTTGACGTCATCAAGTGTGATGTCACACAGCATTCTGTTTTCCCAGGCAACAGCAGACAGCATTGAACCAAGTTCCCAAAGATGCGATAAATTTCAACAGCAGAAGTATTATTAGATGTTACACATAGGTGTTAGATTGTCTCAGTTTATGATTTTTACAAACTCATCCAAAATAAAATGCTTACTGAGCTGGTTCCTGTTACATTTGTATAGTTATTCAATCAATTTGATGCTGAAGGAGAAGGCTTTGCAGATGTAGAAACATTTTTGGAGGTAGGGTACATTTACTCATGCTAAGCGTTGTTGGTTATAAAAGTCCTAGTATATTCAAATATTTTTTATTTTATTGCCTTCCTTAAAATTGTTATTTTGCCCTGGGCAAGCAAAATTTGAGCACTTCTCATTCTTAGGATGAGTTGAAATAATTCAAACTTTTTCCAAGCCCTGCAAAAGCACCCTAAATGTAGTTTATCTTGTTTTATGTCGTGGTTTCATCTCTGATGTTAATATTGTTCCTAGACCTTGCAAGCTTTTGGTGGTGGAATCAGTGCTAAAGGTGATTTGAGGACTTCAATCAAGACACTACAGAACTGTTCTCTTACACCAGGTACATGAAAACTATATACCGGTAGAAAAGATTCAGAGGCGATTCTCTCCATATGTGACATTTGAATGTGACCAAGGGTTCGTAACAAACATTTCAGGTGTAGAACTCTCCTACACTGTTTGTCTTTACGTGTAGTTTTAAGTCGTCTGACCCCAGAAATTGCTGCTACTGAAGAGACTGATGTACTAAGTGGTAATTTATTTATACGTGTATGGTGAGATTTGATTCAGGGCTTCAGTGGACTGACCTGTCCTTATCTTTAGAAATTGGACATTTTTAAACAATCTGAAGATTGTTTATTTGATTATCATCAGTTCTTAAGCCTTAAGTTGTCATTTAAAACTGCATATTCATGATATAAAAAAAGATGACAATTTACAACAGCTTTGTAAAGTTTCAGCTGTGTGTAGATTTTCCTGAAAAAGATAACTAGTTGTTATTAGCTATTTGAAACCTTGTTTGACAACATCAAGTACTTCTTGTACAGCTGTAATAGAAATTATTACCATTAGAGGGTTTATATTAAAGAAATGCTAAGGAATTGTACTTAAAGCTAAGTCATCTGGGAGTGATCTCCAACCAACACAGTGTGTTGATATCCCTTGGTGGGTGCCATACTTGCAGTGTTCAACTCTCTTCCTTGTTCTTAGAGCAAGTTTCCCTTGGCCCTACAATTTACCAGTCTCCTGAAGAATGCAATCTGGTATACAGCTAAAGTAAATAAAGCAACTTCTTGCAATTTATATACTCTTATATTTAGTTCTTATTCAGTAAAGACAATTTAAACTTCCAAGGCTATTAAATATTCATGCAGTGATTCATATTGTCAGGATTTGTTGATGTGTTTGCTGATAACAAAGAAGCAGTTGTTAATCATGGACATAAACTACTTAAGGTAAAGTTATAGGAGTTTTTTGATTCTATCTTTTCATAATGGTCACGTGGTGTGCATTATTTGTATAATGGTTTTGCTAAATTCACTGTTTAGGGGGAAATGCCATAATGGTAAAGGTTATGATTTAAACTGTGTCTGTACATTTGATGGCCTTTAACAAAATAACGTCTGAATTTGTAAGTGTTTTTCTTTTTTCAGAAAGAATAGATCAGGAATTGTACATATAGCACAGTACCCACCAAATATTATACTATTAAAAAAATAATATTATTAATTTCTTTCAAGTATTCTTAGAGAAACATGTACTTAGATATATATGAAAATCTTCACTGCTTTTATAATGAACCTTTTGTATGCCAATTAAAATAGATTTGTTAAATAACTTATTATACATATATTTCTTCAGTTTTTGCTGAGAAACAGAGCCAACAGCACTTCTTTCCCCTTACCTGCCCTGGAGGGCTTCTGCAATACTTCAGAAATGAGACTCAAAGTGTTACAAGCTCACATGGATGCTCTAAAGGAAAAAGGTACATGTAGAAATCGCTCTACACATCTATAGGGTTTTTTTAAAAATTGGGGAAAAGCAACGTCCAACATTTCAATGAAGGGAAGAAGGAGTTTTAAAGCCAAAAATAGGATGTATAAAACAGGTACCATGGGCTTACTTGTAAATTCTAGTTTATCTGGTGCATTTTTCTTAATACCTCTTTTGTTTTTTAATCCTTTTGTTTTTCATTAGCTGAGGTAAAGAAGCAAGTCCCTTCTGTAGAAGAGGGTGAAGTGCTGAGACCATTGTTAAAATGTTACACAGGAATTGAAGTATCCAGCAACAAGGGTGATGTTTCAAGGTGAGTTATTGACATCAAGTTTATTTTCTTTACTTGTATGAGGGTTTCATCTGATATGCAAACATTTTTTTTCTATAATCCGTTGTTGTCGTGATCAATATATATAATGTGGATTTTTTTGAACCGTTGGAATCACACATAACTTTTGTGATTAAATATCTGTATTGTTAAGCTTGTCTCAGCTTCAGGGTTGTCACCAAGATTTCAAGTTGCTGGGTAAATACAACAAGTAGGCGGGGAATCAAATGGCCAGGGATTTCTTTTGGTTCTATTTTTCTTCTATTTTCCGATAAAAGTAGGCGGGGGCCACTCTCTTAGTAGCCGGGGACAATCCCCGGCCCCCGGCTCTTAATGACAACCCTGCAGCTTATTACATGAAGAAGGGAAAGCTATCGCGATTTCCTCTGTACATGTATGCCTTTTGACCAGTAACCTATACCGTTGTTCTGCTGCCCTTGATGTCAAAATTCATATAAGGTACCAGAATTACTCCAAGGCATGCCCTTATTTGTGAGTTAGAGGCAAAATTTGATGCAGTCTAGGAGTCCTTACCACTAAAGGTTTGAATAATAATAAGTGTAAGAGCTGTGTTTTTTGTTCCTCTTCTTAGGTTAACCAATGGTGATGCTAGTTCCTACTGGCAATCTGATGGCCCAGCTAGATCTCACTGGATTAGGTAACTGGACTGAGAACAGTTCAGAGTTCTTTTGCAGTAATGTTTAAAATTGCTAATTGATGAGGTTATAGTGCCTAAAAGCACTGTAAAAAGTTGGAATTTGTCTGCTTGAGGTTATGATTAAAGAGGAAACAAGTCGCGTTCTCTGTCGAACACCAGATTGTGCTCTCACCCTTGCTATTCATCGTTTACTCTGTTCTCTTTCACAGCAGCTTCTGCTCAAATTTTCAGGTTAAGAATGCGACCTAATGTTGTTTTGAAGCAACTTTCAATCAATGTGGGATCTTCTGACCAAAGCTACATGCCACAGCATGTTGTAGTTTCAGCAGGGCGAGATGATCAGAATTTGAGAGAGATCAGTGACTCTAGGATTCCCAGGTATTGCTGCACTCAACTTTCTACTTACATACCCTACTGATAGGGAATTTAAATGAGGTTCTGTAAATTTTCATTAATTGAGTGGTATATTAATTTGAAAAGTTTGGTGATTGCACTTTTGGGAAAACTAAGTATTTTCTCCTGACAATCGTGATATTCAAATATGGAATAAACAACCTCTTACTGCACATACATATAGATTTGCTATTTGTTCTTGTTACTCACCTGTCATGAACTACATGTAGCTCATGCTTCATTTCTTCGGAACTTTAGAAACATAAATCCCAACATTCAAATAAAAATGTTCCTGACCTGATGAAGTTTTTTAGAGTTATTACCTTTCCGTTACAAGTACATAGCACAAAACACAATGATGTGACGCTCTGAGACAAGTGGACATGTCAAGTTTGTTAGGAGTGGCAGCTTGATGTCTTAGTGGCTTGTGCATTGGGCTTTTCACCAAAATCGGATAATTTTTTTAGATTCTTTTGAATGATAACAAATTGTGACAAAAGAATTAAACTGAATTTGCTTTTTAAGCTCTCATAATTGGGTTCAAATTTTGCACTAACCCTGGGTTATCCTAGCCCACCTTCGAACAACCCAGCCCTGAGTGATAACATGTGACCACGTTAGCTTTCAGTATCCTTTCATATTATATTGGATCTAAGTGATAACATGTGAGCAGGTTAGCCTTAGGTATCCTTTCATAGAACACCTTGATCCATCCTTTAGGATTAATGTGTCAGCTACATTCTAACTAGCATCTACCACCTAAATTGCACAGTTGTAATGGAATCTAACACCTCAAGCTATTGTATGCTACAGAAGCTTGATTACTTTAGCTCTGTGGGTCTGTTAGGGCTTGTTTATAAAACTGTCAACTGGAATTGCAGCTGGTGGGGTGAGCTCACAGTACTTCTGTATTCCAATTCATGCAATAATTGATTCTGGCTTATTTTCCATTTGCTTCCTCAGTCAGTTCAATGGAGACTTTGTTTTAGTTGAAAATGTGAAAATTCCTTATCCAGGTTAGTCGATTGTCAAATACATCAACCTAATGCATTACACAGCAATGAACGAGTCCACGTTGCATTACATTACATAGCATCATGTGACAACAGACAGCAGAGAACAGCACAGTGTCATACAGTGCAGTTCAACATAGTTGTAATCCATTTGTTGATGAAATTACGTCTTGTTTTTGCCATCACCCAAATGACTTTAACTAAGTTACCCTCTCATGACAATTATTTTTCTCCATTTTGCTTCCTTTGCAGCACCACAATTGTGATTATTAATCTTTTTGTCTCTACAGTAATACAAATTAACATACGGAGATGCCATAGTGATGGATGTGATACAAGGATACGAGGAATCAAAGCTGTAGGCTACAGGTAATTGCTTTACACAAGTTGCTTTCCAGGTACTTTTTAGGATTCCATTTCTAATGAGAAAAGGTTACTCAGGGAATAATGGTTACAGTTTTTGCTGTGTTTTTTTCAAGATTCAGTCCTATTTCTATATGCGTGTAGTGCTGCAATGTCTTTGATTTTTATTTTAGGGTGGATATACATTAGAATACTTTTCACCTTGTGCAATGTTGTCTACTTTTATTCCTTTTTTCTTTGTGTCGTTTTGTTAAAGAGTTTTAAAGAGCAAAGGTATGAGTGTCAGTGATGCATCAGCAGTGTGGTTTCTGTCTATTTTGGGTGCCACAGCCTCAGCAGCTATGCCTATGGCACCACATCTTAGGGATATTATCTTGGCTCATACAAAGTAAGCAAAGAACCTTGATACTCCTAATGTAACAAAAAAAATTGCAGCATGTATTATTAAAGATGAGAGCAGACTCCCTGTTCTCTCTAATTCACACACCTCTTTGTGTTACAAATATCAGGTAATTCAGTTTGGGATATAAATATAATATATATCCTATTGACCAGCACCCTTCCGATCCTCTTATTTCATTGGTCCCTAGAACCTGCACTACCTATTGTTTTCAGGGATAGGGGCATTGTTATGTCACCATCCCTATTTGTTTTTTCCAGTCAATCACAAACCTTGTTTGGAATCGGTGCAGGTCGACCCATATAAATTATGTTGTTGGTAAAATCTGTTTTCCGGTTAAACCAGGATTTCCCCTGTCCCCTATAAATAATTAGGGTTAAGAAACAAAGGAATTTCTGAATCAAACTAGATCTTGATTTTACTGATTTTACCTAAGATCGTTTTTACCCTCAGCATAATGCTACCATTTGGCCTGCATGGAGCCCCAGCTACATTTCGGAAAGTGTATGGTGTTCTCTGTTTAAAAAATATAGGTCCCCTCCTTATTTGTTAATTGTGAACTCACTTTTCTAATTTTCATATGTAACTTAGTGAGCTTTGCATTTTAAACTAAATAATGATCCCTTGGGTTATGTGATTGTTCAGTAAGATCATTGAAAGTTCACATCTCAAGGGCATCATTTTAAAGCTTGCCTTTTCTTTTCACCCATAAATTGTTTTTTTGTTCGCTTGTTTTTTTTTTCTCTCCAATTAAAGGTCTGCTTTGAGTCACATGAAGCCGATGTCTTTGTCCATAACATCACCAGACAGGCCAGCTTCTTTATCTCAGAATGTCCTTGAAGAAATTGAGAATTTTTTACTGTCTATTGTGCGGTAAGATGCTCTATATCTTATACAGTACGTACAGATCCTTTCACTATTTGCAGTGCTTTGCTTTCATAAACAAAGTTTCATAACAGAATTTGAACCTTACAAAAGATCAATAGCACAGTTTTTTTAACCCAATTTGTCTTGTCCTTAGAAAATTTTATGTGAGCCGTAAGAGAGACATCCTTGTCATGCAATTGAATCTCTTTTCTTTTGTTCTGTTCCAGACTTGAAGGTTTAATTCAACCAGAGGGTTTAAAGATTTTATTGGAATTTACCTTAGCGCGTGGAAATCTAAAGAATATTTTTAGAGTTTTAAAATTATTATATGGTAAGCTTTTTATTCTTGTTACATGTACACCATTCTGATATGGTATTTTCTGTTAGCTTTTTGCATTAGTGATCATTTTTTTCTTATGCTGCCAGAAACGTACTTTTTGTACTTGACATAGATTATTTGCTTTGACTCAATAATGAATGGCTTGAAGTGGTGCATGACATAATGTGTGCAATATTTCCATTTTTAGAAATTGCTCACGAAGATTTTGCTGCTTCCGAAATTGTCAACGCACTTGAAGATGTCCATCTGAAAGCAACAAAGCAACATGGTGAGAACAAAACATTTGTTCCAATGCATTCTGTCAGGTCAGACCGTATGCTGTGTGCTGTGTTTATTCATACCGTGTTGGAAAAGATTAACTGATTTCGCTGTTTGTTCTTGTGTTTGTTGATATATCGTTTTTGTAGCTATTGATCTCAAGACTACTTTTTCTTGTGGATATTTTTCTAGGTGGATATTTAAAAATGTCTTTGTCATCATGTGATGGAGGGCACAAAGACAACCTTTCCAAACCAGAAAATGTTTTGACAGACAACTGGTCATCTGAAGGTATCGCTTTAAAGTGACGATTTCAGTTTTTGAAAATCTGTTTAGCTTGTTTGATATAGACTTACCACATAATAACAAATTCTCTTACCAAGGGCCTGTTTACATGGAGGTTAGGGATCCCAGATAGGTGAGGTAACATGTGGCAGGTCACCCCACCTAACATGTAAACGTGATCAAATTAAAATGAGAGATAAAAAAAATTGTACATTGCTTGTTTACCCACGAAGCACTTAGGAGTTCATATGAACTCGTTTAAACGTGTCCGTGCATTCCAGGTCGAATTGGAATTTGGAAGTGTTGGTTTTGAGGTTATATGGACAGGCAGGTTACCCCACCTAAGTGGGTTACCTCACCTACCTGGAGTCCCCCATCTCCATGTAAAAAGGCCCTTAGTACCTCAGCATTGGAAGGTGACTTAACATTAATACACTTAATATTTATTTCTTCCTCTGAACTCTAGGATTTGATCCGGATTTTGCCATAAAATTACATTATGCCCGTATCTAGTTGCTTTTGGAATTTACCAACCTAAGGCACTAAAAATTTTTGAATTTTTTCAGCTTACTTGTCAGAAAGTGGAAAAACAAAGGTGACAATGATGTTTTCAAGTTCAGCATCTGTTCGCGTTAAACTGACTCGATTGATTATCAAGGTAGGTGAAGAGTGTTTCGTCATCAAATCTATTACTGAATGTTTAACCACAGGTAGCCCAAGCTCTGCAAGTCTATTGCCTTTTTAACGTAATGGGAGGGTCGTGATAGCATTGCGTGATTCGTCATTTTGCACATCTCGCAAAATTGTGCATAACCTTTTGTTGTTTTACTTCCCCTGGACATTTCAGCCGTCCCAGGAGACATTGAAGACAATGCTTATGCAAAACTTTGGCGGGGGGGGGGGACTGGTTTGGAAGGTGTATTATGGGAAATGTCCAAATGGCAAATAAAGAAAATATAAGGATTTGTGTTGGGGAAAAAGTGTGCAATTCTCACGGTAAAAGTGAGAACCTTATTATCATTATTTTTAAATAAATATCACGAACCTTTGGAGATTTGGAGCCATGTAACATGTAACCCGTAGGATCAACTTAATGCTGTGACGTATCTTTTTATCTCCTAGGTTTCAAAAGGACCCATCGGTCCCTCTCATGGACTTGTTTTTGTTCTAGATGATCTTAAGAGGTATGCGGAACTCTTGTGTCTGCTATTTGTCTTCATTGTCTGTTGTGTTCATTGTTTGTTAACATTTTGTGTTTTGCAATGTTTATTTCAGAGATGAAAAAGAAAAAGAGCATGAAGGAGAAACACATGAAACAGATTTTCTCAGCAAGTATAACAACTGGAGTAAAGAGACCTACTCTAGTTTTCTGGCAAGGTGCATTTCCACTTAACTTTGCTTATTTGTGTCTAGCATACCACTGGGCGTTCCTTGAAAACACTGACCCATGCTATGTGAATCGTGTTCTTTCTTGATATCTTTTTGCTACATTTTCACCTTTTTTGCATCTTCGACTTAATTTCTCAAAGTGTGTTTCCTTTGCTTTCCAGCCACAAAGACAATTCTGATGTAAGCCATGATGAACCAGTGGCTTTCTTTGCCCTTGAAGAAGACTGGTATGCACTAGCGAGTACTCTTAGAATATTTTCCCTGAACGAATTTTTCTGTGTCCCGTAAATCCGCAGACTTGCAAACAAAAACGTTTTTATCATAAGGTAGTTTTATGTATCCTTGAGCGATAGACACGGTGCTTCGTTACGACATATCGGAAGCCCACCGTGGAGTTAAAAGTACGACGCTAAACGTATCCTTGCCCTTTCAATTATTGAACAGTTCCAGAAGGTTTTTAACATTTTCTTGATAATGTATTTTACAAATTAAACTGCAACATGTTTTGCTGTTGTTTATTGTTTGGATTGGTTGTTGTTTTAGTTGATCTTCATTAGTGCTCTAACAGTGTTAAATATAGTTTGATTTCCTTGTTGACTAATTTCAGGGATGAGGTTGAAATCCATGTAGACAGAGTTTTGATTGGAAAGGTGAGTTTGGTTTGCTGCTTTGGGCCCCTTCGACATTCTAGAATATATGCAGACTTTTCGTTCTCAAAAATTGGCTTGTTTCCATAAAGAATCGTCTTTGGTTTGTTATGGTCCCTTTCAGTTATCACAAGGGGAACCCTAGTTTGCCCTTTGCTGTCCCTGCCATGCTAGCCTGGAGGCGTCACTCACAAAGTACCTTTCCTGAATGAGGAGTGGCGATCCTGTGCAGACTGATACTCAATTTTTCACTGATCCCGTAGGTTTTCGCTCACTTAATCCTTCCATCGCTTTGTTACTTCTGGCTCCAGTATATAAAGCAGATACAACTAATTCACGAACACAAATACTCTTTCCTTGATTCGTTGAAGTATCGAAATGTGGCTCAGTTCTAATGACTTCGTCCTGTTATGTTCTTTTTTAATAATTACCTATAACTAGTATTGTAAATGAACTGTGAACTGTTAGCCTTTCCCAGATTGTGTTTTGAAAATCACCCTTAAGTTTTTTTGGTTTTCTTTGTTTTCATAGTATGTTGTTCTCAAGTTCTTGGGAGCAAGAAAAGAAAGTGCAGAAAGGATAGGTGTTCTGGGAGTGCACTTCTATGGTTATGAAGTCAAGCCAAACTGCCCTTTAAACGAAGACTTGTACTTGGTAATATTTTTTGTCCGTATTTCACGCTTATGTTTCAACTTTTCAATCCTCTGTTGCGGGTGTACATTAACACTGTTAAGTATCACTTTTGTTGTAAAAATGACGGAGACAACAGTACTGTACAGGAGTTATTTATTTTCAACGTCCTGTGAGTAGCATTCGAATAAAGGTGAATTTCCACTGTTGCGTAATTTTTTTCGGCGTACGCACGTAAATGTTACGCGCGAAACGAAATAGAGTCGATGTATGGATGGTCGCGCGCAAACGTAAAGCTGAGGTTGAAACTCGCTCAACGTTTACGTTGAGGCGCGGCTTTCCATACATTGACTCTATTTTATTTCTGCGCATAAAATTCACGTGGGTACGCAGAAAAAATTACGCGACAGTGCTAATTCACGTTTACTCTGAAATCCATGGGCAAGAGACGTTTCAACGCTTACTCGAAGTTGTCATTGGTTTCTATTAGAATGATGTTGCTCCTGTTCCAAGTGGTCAGACAGTGGATGGCTCCACTCTGTTTATCAGAGTTTTATCATTTCTTGACGAAATGGCAAAGGATCAGGTACTACTCTTTGGTGGTTTCGTACAGTTTTAGCTTGGACACTACTGCCAATTTGTTAATGTATTTATTGTAGTCAAGTTAGTCGACATGCAAAATTTTGCATGTGGCGTTAGTAGTATAGGGCGCATGGGCTACTTCGTTTTTTTCGCACAGAAATCGTATTAACCTGCATACATGATACTATAAAATCAATGCCGTCACAGCCTATTGTCTTGGTCACAGCTCGTTCGTCCGTGAGGTTCATTGATCTATAACGTAACTTGCCTAAATCCTCTGGTTAAGTCATTAGTTTTCCTGATTTTGTCGGTATTTTGAGATCATTCTATCATATATTTTTTTTTTGCTGTTTAAATTCCAGATTCACGTTAAATCAAGACCAAAGAACCCTCCCATGTATAAAGAGAAGGTGCGTATAGTCACAGAATCATAGCGTCCATCTTTTCACACTGATAAATTCCGCTGCACACATCCAATTTCGTCTAACATTGGTGGATGCAACAAGATTGAATGATATTGGTGGCTTTTAATTAGTTTAAACTCATTTAGTTCTGATCCAACATCAATCAACAAGGTCCTAAGTGAGCGAATAAATCAACATGACGCACCCAACAATGTTGGGTGAAGTCTGACCAATATCTTGGAATGATCCTGAAATGGTCCTTTGTCCTTCTGGGATAACTTTGGATGATTTAAAAGCGGCAAATGCAAGTGCACGTGCTTAAGATTGTTTATTCCTTCATAATTATGAAAAAAAGGAAAAACAGGGTGGTGAAGAAAAATCTATAGATCTATTTTCGCCAATTTTCGCCTCATTATTGAGAACTTAATGCGATATTTCCGGTCGTTGTTGGTTATTGCATCCATAAACGGCGCAACATAAGCATCACGTCATCCTCGTATTTGCCTTAGTTGTCTTTGATACTGCAAATTCTTCATTATTTGTTATACAGAGTAAACATTCTCAACCACGTTCTCTTTGCATTGTCTGTTTTTATAACAGTGAATATACTGTTCTTATATCCTGTTCGTATGTTAAGAATGTTTGGTTTAACATCTTAGACTGACTTATCGTCCAATTTTTTAAATGTTCAGGAGGGTCAGCTAGAGTTAAGCAGTGTCAGTCTTGAGCTCATCTGGGATGTTTATACACTTGTTACAAGCAGGTAAATATCCGCCTCATTCCTCGTAGTTTCCAGCAAACAAAGGTGATCTTAAATATTTTAATGGTCATTTAAGTTTCTTTAAGATGAGTTAATTTGTTGTATACTGGTAGACACCACGAGAATCGAGCAATAAATACAAAACTGTTCCAACGAACAACGACACATTTAAATAATTAGTGAAAATGCAATCTATGGAGTCCAGAGACACTTTGGACTACAAGCAGTGACTGTGGAAGTGCCTAGTTCGGTAACCGAAAGTAATTTTTTCTCGCCAAGTAGGGAGTTAAAGACACCAAGACGGCGTTAGTGGGGAAAACGTCGCTTAAAATGTGAATTCGCTTTATTTTTGGAGTCTTTACTGCGATTATTCCAGCTCATTTACTTTTGAAATGTAGGTGGCCTCTTCTAAAGTTGAAATCATGCAATCATCCCCGGCGGCGAAGAAATGTACAAAAAAATTTGTGATGTAAATTAAGCAAAGTTTTTAAGTTTTATCATGATTAAAACAAAATTGCATCATATACGCATTTTATCCTTTTTTTGAAGGCTTGATTTACGATTATGATCTTCAAATTCGGTATCAGGCACGACACACAGGTGAAAAATACAGCTGTAAATACACAAAATACAGTTGATGGACAAGAGGTCAACACTTCACCAAGTGCTGTGAATAACCAAGGGCTACTGGTGCACTTAGCATGAAAAATACACCTAAATGCTTACTTACTTCACGACTACAGCTTGAAAATGTCTAATTGTACCTTTTATTGGGGGAGTAAACAAGCGACGACAAAATTTCCTCTTTCTAGTTCGCCTACATTTGGCAAAGAAAGAGACTTTGAATTATCACGTTAAAGATTGACATAACGCGACTTCTATTTTTAATTAACAAGCGAAGTTTTTACTGCTCTCGCGAAGCACTGAGGGGTGGCGGGAGAAAATTACTGCCGGTCACAACTTTTACAGTTGCGAAAAGAAAGCCCGAAAAAAATTCAGGCTAATACGGTATTCGAACCCTTGACCTCTGCGAATTTTTTTCAAGCTCTCTTTTCGCAACTGCAAAAGTTGCGTCTATAACTACGATGATCTTCTTTCATATAATATTCCACTTAGTTAGGCATATGAAACAAAGCAACTTCATTTCATCTCTCAGTTCTTATTTTCGTCACTCTTCGTAACATTTCTTCAGGTCAGTAAATTACCAGTCCTGTTGTTTTGGTTTTTAGGGACTTGAAACACAAGAAAGTAGTTGTGGCGAGTCTGCTTCTTCTTCGTCTGTTATACCAAAGCCTTCCATTTCTCAAGTCTGGTCTCAGGGATTTAGCTTCTGATACCTCCGATAAAGCCGCCTTTGAAAAGGTGTGGTTAATAAAACTGTTGCCTTTACTAAAATGTTAGTGTGTAAAGTACTAATCGCTTATTGAGAACACTGCTTTCATCTCGCCTATTGGAGACGGTATCGCTATTCTGCAATGTCGTTATTTAAAAAAGACACCAAGAACGAAAAACAAAACACACTTTATGCATTTACACAGAATGCCACCAAGGTCCCATGCAAATTTAGTCTGTGTACAGACAAAGTGCATTTGCATGGTATGTAAGGATTAATTATTTTTGTGCATCAAATCGTTATGAGGGCAATGTTATACTGTAAGAACATCTTTAAATTGTCCTGAAATAACAACAGGTCGACATTTGTTTTGTCTTCGAACCTCAGATTCAGTTTATCTAGAGCCGAGTTGGGATATTACAATTTGTCTGTTGGCTTTGTACGTTGTTGCAGATATCTGACTCTCGAGATTTACTTAGCTACAAAAATAATATATTTTTCTTCTCTTTTCTGCAGCAGCATCAACTCTCCTCCAAGATTTTTTCTTACTTGTGTGAAGTTGTTGACGACGATAAAGATGTTTATGATAAAAAGATTTATGAGATTTCAAAACTGATCATACTAGAGGGTAAATAGCCTATTTTGACGTAAAGATGTTCTCTGTGAAAGCAACTCGCATCAAGCCTGAATTTTTCCAGATTTACCCAGTTGTAACTATATTAATTAGTAACATCTTGTCTTGCAGTTCTCCCTCCCCACCTAAAGTTGAAACCAGGGAAAATTTCTGGATACACTCGTCTAAAGTTGTTTGTGGGGTGAGGGGAGGGGCTGGACGTATGTGAATTGGAAAACACCCCAGAAAAGTAGCAGTGTCCTGAGACTTTTGTCTATGTTTGTAGTTCTATTATTCGAACGCTAATGTAGTTTCTCAATTACTTTATGAATAGCTGTAGCAAGTGGAAAGGTCTTTATTCGGTTTTTTTTTTGAGTCAAAGTGTTTCCAAACATGAACTTTTGAGTGGAACTGATGACTTTGCTGGTTCTTGCTGTTGCAGGAGCGGAGATTTTCTTCCCGGACTCACAGACGAGACGAAACCACTTATTGTCAATGGTGGATCAAGTGATGGAGGAGAAGAAGGCAGCATCTCTTGGACTCACATTTGAGTCGCTCTGTAGATTCTTTAGTAATAAAGATGCAAGCGGTCTCTTAGGACTTCCTGATAATGTCACTGCGGTATGTTCATGTATTATCATAATGGAATGGTCACCCTTGTTAATTCATTTAATGTCACAAGTGGTATCTCCACCAATCCATGGTTTCACAAGCCTGTTTTATCAGTCACTTTGACTTATCCTTTTAAAAGAATTTTGTTCACATGTAGTGATCGACAGTTCAACGTGACAGTTCAAATTAAAGTGGTTAGGTAGTAGAAAGGGTGCGCTGCAGGGAGCTATTATAACTGGCGGCTGTATTGAAATGGTGGACTACTTATCACAGAGATGTTGCTAATTCAATTGTCTGGGCTGATTTTACCATCTCTAAGTCAATGTATGCCTTAATGATATTTTTTCGCCGTGCAGGAGTAATACTATTTTATTTGTGCGTTTTTGTTTCATATTGAATCTCAATTTCAATTTTTTCTGAATAATGTATACCTCCTTCGCTTAATAGAGGTCACAAGTTTATCAGTTCTCATTTTTACCCCCTCTTCAAATAAAGTCTCCACGCCTAACCGGTTACATGGTACACTTGAAAACTTTAATTCCTGGCATCAGAGAATGAGTTTTAAACCAAAATGGTTTTGAAAGTGCTGCCACCGAGCTATCCTCTAAAACCTTTTTAAATATTCCTTTGTACAGTGGTAATGAATCTAAAGTATACTCTTATGTTGCAGGAGGGGTTTGACTGTGGTCCTGTATTAGCTGTTATGACCACACTTCTGACTGTAGCATTTCAAGAGGTAGGTATGATCATTGTAAATTTGTATTTATTCCACGAATCAGCGTCGATCATGAGTCTAATCTCCTTTTTTAAAAGATAACTTTGGCCACTTTTTAAAAGTTAAGTTAATTGTTTGAATATGATGTCAATTTTTAGTGCCTTCATTGCTTGGAGTCAGAGGATAGTGGTCACAGCGAGTCAGCATCAAACCTGGTTCAGTTACTATGTGCCATGCAAAGAAGTCTATTAACATGGTGCAACGTACAGATTAGAGATGGAAGTTCTTTTGGGCACAGCGTCGCTACTTCTCTTATAACAGACTGTAAGTGCACTTCATATTTTCCGGAAATTAAGGAAAGAACAACAACAACAACAACAACAACACTTTATTTCACCCCATAATATCCATAAAATAAAAATTTATAACAATAGTACAGACAATGATAGGGGCGCTAGCTGCCCGAAATAACCTAAGAGTTAAAAATGCCAGGCAGCCAGTTAAAAGAAAAGATGTTTAAATGTTTAGGTCAGGGACACAAGAACAAAGAAAACAGAGAAACACACACAAATAGTTAAGTAAACTACCAGTATATAAAGAGACTAAAATTCATACATTGCAACAATTTCGAGAAAACTCATCGCCTCATTATTAAACTGATTTTTTTAACTCGGAGATTGTCGAGTTAAGTGGAATGAGTTTGTCGTCTAAAATTTTGGTAAATTGGTCGCAATTAATAGCCGGCATACTGGTAGACACTCACAATATTAAACAGATATAATATATCACACGCTACAGAACACAAGACTCAAATTCACTACAATTTCCTCAAGAGCGAAGAAATAAGCAGCCATCTTGTCCGCTGACTGCTGACCATTTCAAGAAAAAAAACGTGACGAAAGTGATGACGGTTCGCAGAGATCTGAAAGCCAACTTGAGCAATGACAGAACCGCAATTTGTGCACCAGAGGTCGCGTTCAGTCCCTTGAGCGCGCTTTCTCGTCCTCATTTGACGTTGCGTTGTCTGGTAAATTAATCTGACTATTCTGTTTTTTAAGTGTAAAACTGCGAAGTACGTAAGCCAAGTGTAAAGAGGGTCTGAAATGTCCGTGTGTTTGCAAGGCTTCTGTTTGGCGTCACTTGCCAGTCTTTCGTTCATACTTCTATGTTACAGTCCAGTTCGGTGATAGTGGAGAAAAAAAGGATCATTGCGTCTGATTTCTGTAACTTTATCACATTTCTTCGTGATCTGACAAAACCTTTTGTATAGTACTGCACTTGGATTTTAAGGTGTCACTACAATAAGCTAAAAAGAGTTGATCTTAGAATGGCATATTAATCAGTCTTTCATTCGTTGTTCTTGTTTTTGCAGATGTTGAAATATTAGCCAAGAAAGTGTTTCTGTCCCTGCAGGCAGTGAATGAATCACGTGACCAACTGACTGTGATTGACAGACTTGAACATTCTTACGTTTCCGCGGCAATGAGGCAGCTGGTATGTTAATCATCTTTATCCTTGTATAAGGCATTTTCTATAAGGCAACCTTTTGCACCTTATTATCCACTGAACAATGAGACGTGAGCACAATGCCGCATTCGACTGTTATTGTACCACGAAAGGAAAATTTCAAACACAAAATATCATTGCAAATGTTAACACTGATACATGTTGTGGTTCAGTTTTATCCTTGGTTTAAATTTTATTTTCTTTTGTTTCAAACTCATTATGATACATTACCATACCCAAAAACAAAAGAAAATAAAATTTAAACCAAGGATAAAATTGAACCACAACATATATCTTAGTGTTCTGATTTAAGCCAGAAATAAGGTGATTTCCTTTGATCACCCGAGACATATTTTGCGCAGTGTACCCCTTTTACGATCATTGAAATTATCGAATAAGATGTGGTGGCTCAAAATCTTAGAATGCTGGCAACATACGAGTTGTTAGTCTATGCACAACACTACCACCGTTGTAAAGGTTTTCGGTGTTTAAACGTCGTTTCGCAACACGACAGTTTCTCTTCTTAATATTTTCCAGGTTCTGTTTCTCAACTTGTTTACAAATGTGGATGCCATCTGCATGCCGGTACTGAGAAGTCTACAGCCTGTTTGTCTCGAGTTAAAAAGGTTTTCAAATAAATATCCAGAGCTTTTCTTTAAGGTAACGCTGCAATATTCTTGTTTGTGGCAGTTTCAATTCACACTTAATTAATTACAGACATTTAGAAAGAGTGTATTTTTTAAATGTTGTTTTGCATGTATTATTTAAGATTGATTCTGAAGAATGGAACAAGACCCAAGGACAGACAATACTAAGAACTTGGGAAGTTGAATCGTTACACAATTACGAGAACAACCAAGACATAAAAATGGTTTGCCAAGTTTTCTATTGACTTAAAATTAAATTAAATTAACCCCTAATAATTCCCAAAGTAAAGCGAAATTACAAAAAATCAAATTTCCTTTTTGTAAAATCCTACGATTTGAGTAACACTTTTTATAACGTTTTGCCATTATAATGGAATCATCGTGGAATTAGGATCACAAGTCAAATAGTTAGAATAAAAAATCATCATGCTATAACTTTGTGTAGGTTGTTGTTGAGGTTTTTACTTGAAAATACACTAGTTTTTTGTGAACAGGCTTAAAAACAATGATGATAATATATACTGTATTAATTTTTTATTGGTTCAACAATTTATTCCAGGTGTTTAGCTGTCCTGGCTGTTCTGAATTCACGGTTGATTTTGATTCTCGCTGTGAAACAGAAAGAAGGTTTGCCTACTTATTTTTGTATTAGGATTTGTTAGCTCATTTTGTAGATGCTGATGTGACCACACAGCCATTTTCTTACCTCAATCGATAACAGTATTAAAAACCAAAATCAAGCCAGCTGGCTAACTCGTTGTCCGCTTTTTGGATTCCAAATTAGAAGCCTTTTAAAGTTTAAGATACCACAGAGGCACTCTACTGCCAGTTTTCCTGTGCTAATTGAAGTAAATGTTGTTATAGTACTTCTGAATGATTGTATTCTTCTTCTAGATATGATTACTTGGAATTTACAGATTCAAATGGCAACAAGAAACGATTTGATCAAAAAGTTGACACAGAAAAGTGGCCAAAGGTAGCATTAACAATGTTTTGTTAAGAATGGTGTTCTTCAGTGAAAATTCAAATTTATGATTGCCATGTGCTGTTTTCGAACTTGCTTTATTTGTCTCTCTTAAGTTTTAATCTTGCAATACTTATTCAGCACTTCGTTTTCCTGCAGAACGTTAACTTCAAAGCTGGAAATCGTCTGCTTTTTAATTTTCATTCAGATGGAAGCAACAATGAATGGGGTTACAAGTTCACGGTAAGCCTAGAAAGTTGTTTAACACCAGCTGACAAGAGAAGGAATTATCGGCGATTTGGTACCGTTATTATTATTATTGCCCGCAAAGCTGCCTGATTGTCGTCATGCAGTAACTGATGCTGTTGAATGTCGACAGGTGACTGCTAAAGGCTCCCCAGATGTGGCGTTATCATGGATTTTTGATCTTCAGCTGGGGATGGCTCGTTTGTTTGGTCAGCTCTGTAGTGCTGCCTTGGACAGCAGAAAAGGTAATCAACCTTACAACAGCTAATATGGCGGCTAACAAATTGCCACAATAAATAGACGCCTTAACGCACCGATCAAACGATTATTAAATATTTCACAACATTTCTCTATGAATTTTAGCCTCCCTAACTCCGTCAAATGCTGACAATGAGGAAGAAAGCAAGTTACTTCACAGTGAAATCTGGACCACTCTTTTCCGTGGAGGATACATGACCGGAAAACTTCAAAGGTCTCTTTCTGGTCACCATGTAAGTCATTTCAGTGACTTAAACTGAGTATTAAGTGGCCTTACGGTGCGTCATGTCCTACTTTTAAAGGAATATTATTACAGTTCTACTAGATCTAAAGAATTTTGCATAGTATAACAAGACTGCCTTCACACGACTCTAGGTAGACTGTTTACACCCTCCCATCTTGATCCGTAAGATCGTCGTCGAGATCGAGCTCTCGTTGGGCGGCCGTGACGGTTTGAAATAAACCGTAGGTGAGGGGAGGGATTAGTGAGAAGCGGGGGAGCAGGGTTTGTTGGCCGCTCCCCCCCCCCCTTCTAGGTAGATATTTGTACTCCTTTCCAGGCTGCACTTGCATTTGAAGCCAAGATAAACCATCCCGGCGTTACAGTAAGCGGCAGTCGATCTTAGCGATATCATGAAACAATAGGGAGCTGTAATTGTTAAGACTCTGCGAGAAGGCGGACTTGCTCGACTCGTCGGCAAGCTCTTTCTTACCAACAGAAATAGTTCTCGGAATGTCAGCTGTTTGTGTTTCCCTCCACCACAAACGTAGCACCACCGCGGGTTTTTTAATCTACCCGTTTATCCCTTTACGTCTTGTGACAGTTTGTTAAATACGAAGTCCTCGATGAACAAGCAGCAAAGAACCGCGGCCTTGATCCATAGCTGGCAATGTTCTCCGTGAATATATATATATATGTATCCAGAATTTCGTTTGTGTCCTATGAATGATACAAGGGATAGGAAAAAAAGAAAATTCTAAATCATACTTTTACCACAATCCTAGGTGAGGAAAATGTAATTCATGTTGATCCCCCTTTCCCCTTGAACAGTGTTGGGTGTTACAAGCCAAACACCTTTTACAGGACCTCAACTTGGTTGGGGGGGTGGGGGTTGGGGGAAATCTTGTTAAGGCCGTGTTTGTGAGTGTGTATTGCAGGTCAGCTGCAAATTCCATATAAAAACACGTTGAAAAGGGGAGGTGTCCCAAAACCTTTCGGCCAGGATTGTAGGTTGAATAGTGTTTTAACCGGAGAACAGATTTCACCTTCAACAGTATAACAGTCTTGATTTTTCCAACAGGCAACAACAAGTTATCCAGTCGAGAATTCGGTCAACTCATTCTTGCATACAATAACTGGTAGAACAGAAGGACCGCCTGAAGTGACAATGGAAGAACTTATAGCGAAGTGAGTAAAATTGTTCGCGTGAGCGACAGTAACTTAAAGAAACGTCCACTCCTCCATTCAGTTTCATAGATCGCTATTTTTACTGGACTCAAGAAATTAACACTTCATACCAAATAGAGAAGCGAGGTGTGACGTCAGGTTACCATGGTAGCAAAATTTGTGGATCTCAACAATCTTTCTTGATGAAAATGAAGAAATGATAGTCGCAGTGAACGCAATTTATGCAATTGCGTAAAGAAGCCTGAAAAAAATTCATGACTTCAACGGGGTTTGGGAGCAGGTCAATTGTGGGTTCATATGTTCCCGTGAAAGAAATGAGTGTTAAAGTCCTTAATTTTTTTTAAGGCTTCTTTACGCAATTGCATGAATTGCGTTCACTGCGACGATCATTTCCGCAGTTCATATATGATTTATTTCATATATCATTAACAATCTTTCTTGACAGAGACGGCCATTTACGCGTTGAACGATGGAGGAAAATTATGGGTTGCTGTTTTGTTTCTGGAAAGTCTTACTTGTCATTTTTTTTCACTTTTCCTGTCATATTGGAAAGACCACGGTTTGTTGAGATCCAGAAATTTTGCTACCATGGCAACGTGACGTAACGACTTCTCCTCTCTATTAACAACACCACATACAAATGTCATCTTCTCATGGAAGTACTGTTCATTGCCATTTGAATGATGGTTGTAAGCTTTCGTCCGACGGACTCGAAAGTTAGAATAACCTTATTACTTGATGCGTAAATATTAATTTGGGTATCCTTTCATCAGGTGTCGTGAAAAGGCTCCTGGGCCCTTTATAGGAGGTCCTCTGGTAGACCAAGCTGTAAATGCTGTGTTTGCTGCTCTTTTGTGGCATTCTCAGGAGTTGAGGGACCAAATAGTGCTGTTTTGTAAGTTAATTGTGTTTTTTTGGCTTTTTTTAGCTCTCTTTTGCAACGTTGTATCAAAAGTGAATCTTCTATGTAACAGGTCCCGAAGGTTAATTTGAAGGATTTTTAATTAAAAGTGCCAGCAAAGTTAAAATAGGTCAGATTTTAATCGATTTATCTTTCGTTGTCTCTTACCTTTTAACTCAGAAACTAACAGTTTCCGATACTCATTTAAAAATTCTTGTAGCTTGATTGATTGATTGAGTCAATGACTGATTTTTCATTTGTGTAATGTATTCAGCTAATAACACACCCCCAGAAGCTGTTCCAGAAGGCGTCCAAGAAGCTTATTTAACAGCTGAGTCACTAAGGCGTGTACTGGTAAGCAAGCTCTACTACTGCGCCCGCCATGAAAAATGTCTATTAATGAAATGTGTGCTTTATTATTTTGGAAAATTCAATTTATTTGAAAGGGGTGTCTTAAAGCGAAAATCGTGGAAACGACTTTTATATCAAAGATAGAAAGTACAAATTGCCAAGACGAGCTAAATTCTCCTTGAAACCTTAAATTTCATTACTTGACGTCTCTGCTTTCAGAACGTACCAAACTATGAAGCGCACATACAACAGACTTGTTAAAGTTATGTTGTTGTTGTTGTTGTTAAGATTGTTTCTGTTTCTTTAAATCACTTGCGATGGTAATTATGGAGATAGAGGGCAAATCCTGTGATCCCCGCAAAACTTGTACTGCAGTGTTTTCACATGGCGGTGCTCCTTGCCGATATCAGTACTTTTCAATCTATCGATTTATTGGCTACTCACGGCAGCTGGAGTATTACACCTATTTAATTTTATTTGATTTAAGGGCTGTTTTCTTTTCCGTCATCGTCGTGGTTGTTTAGTCTTCGTTAACAGTCTTTCAAGTGGTCGTGTCGCAAAAATGCGTGTATCAAGCTGCTCACCTTGCTCTGCAGTCATCCTGTAAATGTTGGTTTAATTTCCAGGTTGATCGTCGTCAGCGTCTCATTTTACAAGCTGAAGAAGAGTCTAACAATGATAAAAGCCCACCACAGAAAACAGATCCAGACAGCCCTGGTAAGCTGCTGCTGCTTCCCGGGCTCCTTTCATGATTCCTCAAATCACCTTGATACAGTTCACCTCTATTTATGTTCTTTACATTATTTGTTTGCAGTGATTGCTTGCAAGGAAAAAGCTCAGTTCCTTCTCAAGTTTGCTGGGCTGCAAAGAATAGCTGAAAAAAGCGCTGAGGTACTTCCTCGTTACAATGTGTTGTTACAATAGCCGTTCGATCTCCCTACATAAGTAAGGAGCAAGGGGTTCCGGTTTTCGCAGAGTATTTGTACATATCTTTGGGTTGCTTACTTCCTGTATTAACTGTGTACATTGCTTTAGGGAAGAGAGAACAGGCGCTCCAAGTGGTTAAACAGGAAGTCATCTTGGCAACGATCATCTTCAGAACATGGAGGAAGCATCTTATCAGGACCCAGACAGGTTAGTGAAAACTCTCACCACTGAACTGATTTTGGTAATTTAACTACGGATAATTTCAAGTGATACCATAAGTTTGAGCTCTTAGTACGAACTGCACGTGCTACACGAACGGCTTCTCGATTACTCGCGCTTTCATCAGGACATAAGTCTATAGTTCTCATGGCTAGATAAGGGACTGGACCCTACTTACCCTTTGATATATGTCTGATACTAGTTTTTCGCATCGTGTTAGTTTCAGTTTATCCTCTCATGTTAGATAGGAGTCCACTGACTTACGGACAAAGTTAAATAAGCAGCTTTAATCGACTGTTACACAGAATGATGAAAGGACGAAATGAAACTATCACAATGCGATAAACTAGTACCAGAACTCTATCACTGAGTTAGTAGTGTCCAGTCCCTTATCCAGCTGGCACTGAGAGTGATAGACGTATTATGCTCCTCTCAGCATATTTGCATTGGAACACATCACTGCTAGTGCTCGCCAAAAATATGCTTTAGTTCATGTGTTCGTTGAGTAAGAAGCGTCTTCAATTTGTGTTGGAAAATTAAGCTTTAAGGATTTAATATTTACCATAAAAAACTACCTTCTAGTGTTATCTACCTACACATATTCTAAAATTACAGTCTCAGGGCTTTTGAAACAAAATATACTTGTATAATTACGTTCAGGTGTAGCCGCCGCTCATGTGAGCCCATATATTAAAGGGTGTTATTGTGATACTCGCAGAAGGCTATGACCTCAGTTCCACCTACCACCTTTCCCTTTAAACCTCGAGGCCGCTGTAGGAATCTTCTTCAGACTGTATGAAGTATTACCTCCATTACTTATTTTACGTTTTTGCCGCAGAGAACGCTGTCTGTTGAGGAAATCCGGACCATTGACAAGCACCCTGCATTTAAACTGATTCTGGACTTTGTGACAAATGATTCTTATTCTCATGAAAGGTAACTTTCGTGTTTATTGAAGACATAACTAATGTGTATTCAGGTCTTTAATCTTCATACTTGCCTAACAGCAAATCATGTTTCATGAAGTGAGATAATCCTTTTGTTGTGATATATTTTTTTATGTTTTCATAAAGGACCCAAGCCCTGCTTAAGCAGAGAGTGGAACATGCTAACACTGTAGCTGATATTTACCTATTTGCTGCCGAGTTTCTCCGCATTTCTTCCGAAACAGATCTTGTCCAGGTACGTGTGATACTCACATTTATGTTGTACTCAAGCTGGAGGCAAGCAAGGAGGTAGTCTTCTTTCGAGAGGAAGAGGGGGTTGATAGGTTGAACGCGATGTAAAGAGAACGAAAAGGAAGCGCTATAAATAGGTGTTCACAGGACTGGAAAGGTCGCAGGACATACCTAAACATGAAACAGAGACCAGCATCCAAGAAGCAAAAGAACTTTCTCTACTTTATCCTTTTTGTTTTGTTTTGCATTATATACAGGCCCCTGCTGTTCTCTTCTTACAACAGTTTCTGTCATCTCAAAAATACTTCCCAAGGTAAGCTGCTGTTTAGTGTTACTACAGTTATTTTGACATCTCGATGGTAAAAATGAATAAACAAATAGAGAAATAAATTCTCTGTTACACCAGACACAGCATTTTTAAGATTATATGAAGCGCTCTATTTACGTACCTATGGTGTTTCTGTTCCGGCAGCCACTATGCAGACAATCTTGATGGATGCGGCTTAAGTTTGGAGAGTAAAGTTCGACGTGCCTACTATGCACTGGTCAGAAGATGTTTAGATGGAGTTAAATCTTACCATACGCAAGGTTCTAGCCAAAGGTGCGTCAGTAGTGGTCTTTCCTTTGCTGACTGAAGAGAGACTTTCTCCTGTGTTGAATGTTTGAAGAATTCATTTTCTCATTGTTATTTTCCTAGTTGATGGCCTTGTGCAATGACGTAATCTTTCAATTTTTTATGCTTTTGTAGGCCAAGTTCTGCTGCATTTCATTGTTTGCGAGCGTTTGTTCTTCACCTACTCGATACAGAGTGGAAGGTTTGTCTCGATTATAATGCTATTAAGCATTGGTGGGGAGCAAGGGTGGTGCAGTGGTGAGAGCACTCGCCTCCCACCAATGTGGCCCGGGTTCGAATCCTGGCGTCGACGCCATATGTGGGTTGAGTTTGTTGTTGGTTCTCTCCCTTGCTCCGAGAGGTTTTTCTCCGGGTACTCCGGTTTTCCCCTCTTCTTAAAAAAAACCCAACACTTTCAAATTCCAATTCGATCTGGAACGCACGGACACGTTTCAACGAGTTCTTATGAACTCCTTAGTGATCCGTGGGTAAACAAATTACAAACAAATTACAATTTACAATTTACAATTTACAATTTTACGTTTGTTTCCATCCTTTCTTTTTTATCACCATCCACGGTGCTTTCTGACACTGCTTGCTCTAACAGTCTTATAATGAGGACGCCTCTCATGCACGTAATAACCAACTCAACCATTAAGGTCGAAAAGGTTCTATTTTGAATTTGGTTTTGATAGGTTATTTTTTAATTTACCTCCGGGAACTCGGCATATTTTTCTTATCCATTGCTTTGTGACACAAGGAGTTTTGCGTAATTTTGTTTCTCCCTCCTTGTCAAGTTTTTTAAACATTTTTTATTATTTTTGTGTTGTCTTCTTAGGGTTACGATCACACTTTCATTCTCGATGTTCATCTGCCGGAGTTCCTGCTAGACACATTACAAGGTTAGAAACATAAAACTGTTGCTGCCGAGTGGGCTTAAGCTTAATAGTGCTGAACTTTTAACTGCTTTAAAGCCTTACTGCAGGTTTAGGTTTCTTTTGCTTTACTTTGACCAGACATTTTGAGGTAAAATTGATCCCTATCTTTATCGGATCAGTTTTGCAAAATAAGATTAACAGGCGACATTTTTTCTGTATTTCTATCATCAGACAAAAGAGAAAAAAAATCAGTTAAACAACTGTCATAAACACGCGTAGGAGTCAGTGTAGCTTATATAGAAATGGCGGCAGCTGGATGTAGATAAGTAGAAAAAATTGCAAAATAGGTTCTAAGATGTTGTTTTGAATCAGTGCAAGTTAAAACTTTCCCGGAGGGAGTAAAAATTCTGAGTATAATATACAAAGTACAATTGTTTGAAACTCAACGTGGAAGTTTTCTCATTTTATTTACCCCAGCAACCGTTCTGCACCCCAAACACGATGTAAGGGACATGAATGATCAGCAAGAACTGGAACACTATGAAGAAGGCAATAAATGGCTGGATGAAGCTAAAGAAAACTTTGATAATTGGTTTGAAGGCATGAGGACTTTAGCACAGACAGACCAACAGAGAAGGGTTGGTAACCCAGCGTCGTATAGACAGTTCGATAAAGTAATTCAGGGAGCTGTGTCACGGCTTTTGTAAAAATTCTAGCCGTAGGAACTGGCACCAAATGGAGTGAAACATTAAAATAATCGCTCAAAACACCAACAGAAGGTATCGATAAATACAAAAGTAGGCGCGGATGGACAAACTTCAAGAACATTTAAAGGGGTGGAAATTGTGGGTTTTTGAAAAACGTTTCCGCCTCACAGTTTTTAAGAGTTCATTTTTGTTGTTTAAGAAAGGTCTGATACAATGCTTGGGAAGTATATTTGTTGAACAAGAAGCTGTGGGTAAGGAATTTCTTCGTTAACGTTAAGTTTCATAGCGTGTAAGGAGCTGTAATTGGCAATATTTACAAAATAAACTAGACAGCAGCCATGAAGCTGCAGCCTCCTTAACAAGAACCATCTGAAAGACGAAAGAACTAAAGTGAGGCGCGCTCTCTGATTAGCCAATGAATAGTATGCTATCTGCGCAAGTCGGCGCTAAGGAATACTGCTGCGTTTTGTGTTTCTACTTTTTGTACGCATCTATGTTTACTCACGGTCTCTTACATCAGTCCTCAAGCCTGTTAGAACTATTTGATTTTGATAAGTCGTGTCACTGTTACGTCACGTTGTTTTGATAGTTCTGTTAATTCTGCTGTTTTGTTATTCAGAGAATGCATTTGTTTGTGGCTCGCTTCTCCGACAGTCTTGACGTGGTCATAACATGTGATGGCTGTGATGTCACTCTGACAGGCAGGCGATACCGTTGCCTTAACTGCATGGATGTTGACCTTTGCAATAATTGTTACATGAGTGAGTTGGCTTAGTTTACCAGGTTTATGATGTTAACGAAAGAAATAAAAAATAAGACAGTTATGGCGCCTCTGTAAAAATCAAGAAATAACTGTAAAAAATGATTTTCGATATTTTCATATTCTAATCCCAAATTTAATTGTTTCACTTGCCCTGGGTGAGTGTGTAGAGTACAAAGGCTGTGATAGTGGAGACAGTCCCAATTGAAAATGTAACGAAAATCAATAAAAAACTAAAGGTCCAATTTGTAACGAAAATCAAGAAAAATTATGGTATAATTAGAATGGAATTTTATCCACTGTGTCTGTGCGTTTGTGTGACGGGGGGGAAGCAGCTGATCGGTTAATAACTCTTTCAGACTAATAATTTGCTTTGTTTCCTTTTTTTTCCTTCGTTTTTTCTTTTTTCCAGCTGGAGTGAAGCCTGACGGCCATTCAGAATCTCATGACGTCATAGATATGAGGTGGTGTAGGAAAAAGATCTTATTTGATACCTTACAGTAACTTAGTTTGTTTCCTCTGTAAACAAGCACACATCCGGACTGGTTGTGGTAAAACTAAATTGTACACGCATGATCAGTTTCCTGCTACCTAGACCATTTTCCCCTCGAGCGATTTCGCGGTCAAGTTGGTAGGTTACATGGTCGCCAAAACTCGCCATATTTTCTTGTTAATTGGGCAGTTTGGAATGTTGAAAAGGTAAAAAGGGGCTTGAGACCTGAGCAGCTTAGAGCAAAGTAAATGGCAACCTCAAACAACACAAAAGTAATTATCAGTCAGACAATGTTGGAAAAAAGGCAGGGGTGATGGATAATGACACTTGTTTTAATGGCGTTTGTGTAACTGATTTAATTTTTTAGATACAAATGTGATGGTTGCGACAGCTTTATCGTTGGAACACGTTACCACTGTACGGAGTGTGATGACTTTGATTTGTGCTTCGGTTGCCATTCAACAGGAAAGTTTCCTGGAAGGTAAATACACATTTTTTTTAAACACAGATCCCCAAAACTGCGCTGTGATATTTTGACTTTAGAGATATAACAATGCTATTATCTATTTTATGTCGCTTTTTCGACCCTCAGTTTAGTTAGGTAGGCTAAAAGCGTGCTGGCTAAGATGCTATTCATTTTTGTTTTCAGTCATGAAACTTCCATTTTTGCCTACTACGCTCACACTTGACGTCTGCTGAAAGAAACATCTTTTTTGCTGTATTGACAGTTTGTTATTTTATTTTAGACACACTGCATCCCATAAGATGATGAAATTTCCCCTTAAGACAGGTAAGAAGAGATGTTTGCTCAAAGAATTAGAACTTCTAAAGCCTTCCGTATTTTTCTGTAAATTATATATTTATTTTTTGTGATCAACATTTCATCCAATAGGCCATTTTACAGTTGCAGGCTTAGTATCCCAGCTTCTGAGGGGAAAGTGAGGCTGAGGTTGGCCTTGTTTTGATATAAACTTCCTTCCTCAGTTTTCTAATGTAAATGTTACTTGAAAACTTCTATTTGGCATAAGAAGAAGATGATTTATATAATAAAACTGGAAGAGCTGTATCAAAACAAGGTCAAGTCCAGCCTCGTTTCCACCTGTAACTGTAAAATGGGCTTTTTCACATTATCCATTGAAAGAGAAGTGGAAAGAGCAGACTAAATCACGTCCATATGATCCTCTACAAGACTGTTTTGTCTGAAGTGTTTTGTGCCACTTCTGTTTAAATGTGCGCCTCTTTTGAATGAATTTTCGTTTTATTGCTTGTTGTTTTTTACATATTTGAATTACAGACGGGGACAGGTTCCCACAAAAGTAGCTTAAACTTTTATTTTACTACCTAACGCAATATCTCCTTCGTGTAATGTTTTATTATTATCATTATTATTATTATTATTATTGTTGTTGTTGTTGTTGTTGTTATTTTTTATTTACAACTAATAAGTAAGAATTTGAGTAATAGGTGTGTAGCCCTCCAATATCACTTTCTAATACTGTGCTTGTGCCTTAACATAAACAAAAAAAACTTTCTTGTGGTGTAAGTCTATGTAACGGTTTGGATAATTGTTTTAATGTGTTGAAGGTTCCTTTGTAGACACGACAGCAAATGATCCATCAATTCGTGTACAGGCCTACACCCATCATCATGCGTGGCTTCAGTTCGCGGCTTTAGCGCTCACGCTGGCAAACTCCATCAACGAACCAAACAAGTCTGGTAAATACTGTACAGTGCATGAAATTGTTTAGCCTGCGTGGCAGACGCAAAAAGGGCAGGAGGAGGAGGCAGAGGAGAAAGAAGCGTAAGGGAAAAGGAAGAAGATCCTCTCTCCTAACCCCCTCCCTGTTACTCCTTTCTCCCAATCCCTTACCCTTTTGACGCCTGCTACGCAGGGTAGAAATTGTTTTATTTTATCACCTTTACACTCTAAATATTAGCAGAAGTGCCAGCCTTGTTGGGAAGTTTTTAAAATTCTTTAAGAAAGCGCTGGAAAGTATTGCTCAAGAGGCTTCATGCATGTGGTGATAGCGCATGATTTTGTTAACAGACTCAAACAATTGCATCTCAATTACAAAGGCTTTATGCGACGAAAAGCTTTGCCAATAGGCCATTTGCACGATGGCGTCATTTTACTACTACGACCAGAATCCTTTTCGTTTTTCCTTTCATATTTAAATTTTGTAATCCCAGTGAGGTTTAAATAACCAAAGCCCTAATTAGCACAAGAAAGCAAAACCCTGAAGGATTCTGGTCGAAGTAGTAAAATGATGTCATAGCGCAAATGGCCTATTAGTGATGTCTTATTAAAGCAGACACGAGCCTCAGTAAATGTATAACTATCTTTCCCATATTCTGTAAAGGGAACCTTGGTGAAGCGGACTCTTATATGGAACAAACCCCAGTGATGGTCCCTCGTATGTCAAGTCTGATACTGTGTCAGCTATGTACCCAAAGTCAACCTGCCTAATGTTAAAAAAAAAACAAACAAACAGCTTTCACCAAAGTTTGTAAATCAGCAATGTTTCCTGTCATTGTTAGGCATTAGCCTCACTTGCCAGGATTTTCATCTTATATCATCTAAAATTTTTAATATTTACAGCGTAATTCTTAATTATGCCGGAAATTGTTATTCAAATTCAAGAACCATTTGTCGCTTGCCTCTGTGTGTAAATGTGTAGTAAGCAGTTAAAACTCTGCATCTATTATCATCGTATTAGACTCCTGATACATTTTTTGTCTTTCTATTCTAATAGTTTTTAACGTAGATTACCTACGGACCGCTGGCCTTCTGCACATTGATTGCCTTAATTTAGTCACCAAGTGTTTAAGCCATGTCTCGCATAAACCAGACACAGGTAAGGAAGTGATTGTGTTTATACTCGAGTGAGGAAGTGCGTTCGTGACAAAGTAAACGTTTTGACTTCTCCTTTCTGTGAACGATATAATATTTTTGTACTGAGGTTGACGCCCATTTTTCTTTAAGGATTACTGATATATAGAAATAGTATTGTTCTTTTCAGTTAAAAGTGTTGAACCCAAGGCATCAACAGCTACTGAGACAATTCCCGAGGGAGAAGGAGAGGGGGAAAACCCAGAAGCGGAAGCAACTCTAGAGTCCCCATCTGTATCGGATGAGGTAAAAAGTGCTTCCAAAGAACCTGAACAAGATACTAAAGACATTGAAACGGTAACAGCGACAACAGAGGTAAAGACGCCTGATGCCAGCACTGCTGTGGCGGAACAAGAAGCAGCAGATCTAAAGGCACCTGAAGTCAGCACGTCCGTAAAGGAACTACAAACAACGGCAGGTGGTCAACCAAATGAAAGTGTAGAGAGAGGTGAAGAACCTTCAGCTGATAATAAGAATTCTACCTCAGCTGAAAAAATTGATGGGATTGCTAATCAGCAAGGGACATCAACACAGAGCCCTGAAGAATCTGAAAAACTTTTCCCCCCTGCGGCTCAAGAAAGGTTGTTGGGACTATTGGGAGCGATTCTACCACAAGACTCGAAGGTAACGCTCACAATTTTGATGTAGTAAAGAGATACTGCATTGACGCTAAAGTGTCTCTATATACATCTCTTTCTCTGGCGTAATGTACTTAAAGAATGGCCCGTTACATTATGTCTACATTGATAAGTTCCTTTCTTATAAACGAGTTATTTCATTTTAATCACTTACTGTGTTCTTGGTGCTTAACCATAGCTCTCCCATTGGTCATCGTATTGTCCCGGAATTGAAGACTTTCTGTCCGACAGATTTTTGCCAGCTCTGTTCAAGATTATCAGGTGCGAAACGATTTGTTTACTTCAATTCGCCACTTTTAACTGTGTCCTGGTAACAAATGACATGTATTAACTTATTCTTCGTTGACATGCTTTAACAGGGATGGCAATGTTGATGATAATACAAAAAGTCTAGCTCTAGGTGTCCTTGGAAAATTTCTACAGTGCACTAGCCCGGGTGTAAGTGTCCAAAAAAACTTTGTCTTTCTTTCCTTTTGTTGTTATTGTTGTTATCGTTGTTTAATTTCCTATACGTCTCCAGTTAATTTTATTCATGCTTATTGATAGATCTCATCCTACCATCTATAAAAACGTTTTGTTGTCGTTTTTTTTTTTTTTTCATGCCGCGTTCAATACACCAGCTTGTTCTTTGCAACCTATGTCTTGTTGTAATTTAGTGAATGAGTGCAATTTTTATTGTTTGTTTGTTTTTTGTCTACAGCTCTCCGATCGTGGCGTTGCACCATATTCCACGTCGCCCGTCAAAACAGAAAGTGAGAGTAGTAGTGAAGAGATTTGTTCTGGCAAAGCAACTGTTGAATTTCTCTTCCAGCTCGGAGCGGAATACCTTTCCAGGTTAGTTCAGCGTCTAAAGCGTATTTACAAGGTTCACAAGTCCCTTGAAAGTCCTTGAATTTCACAATAAAAAATTCAACTGTGTGTGGTCCTTCAATGTAGTCATATGCACTTAATCGTTTACGGAAGGTAATGACTCATTCATGTTGCAGATCTGACCTGACGGCATCGTCTGGAATGGCATCCACTTTACAACAGTTAGCCAGATCAACTCAGTGGCAACCTAGTATAGCAGATCACGTGGGACTCTGTCTTGAGCGCTTAGCAGAGCCTGCAGAGGTACAGTAATGTGACTCATTTTATAACTAACAAATTCACAAAAACCTTAAATACGCGACTTCCCTTTTAATTACACTCCAAGGTGTAAAGCAATTAACAGAGCTCTATTAGTATGACGTGCTACCTGATCACCAATAAAATCCCACGTGTATTTACCCCGTTTTTTGTCGTTTCGTTGGTTTTTACTTGGAACATGTCTAAGTTGAAAGGCGTAGAAGGACGATGTTTTTTTTTTATGATTTAAAAATAGTATTAATATTTTGTAGGTAACTGGTTTCTTAGACTTTTCTCACTCAAAATTATTAATCAGTTTTACTGTAATGTTATTAATGACTTGGAATTAGCTTTAACATACTAAACTGAAATGCAAATAAACGTGAAGACTGAGTCGACTCCCTATCCTTAATTGCCTCCACCCTATTACCTTATCCCGCCTTGCCCTTTTTCAAACTACGAGGGTGGAATCGTTTCATGCAACCGTCAAAGTTATTCCAATTATTTATTTTCATTTATTATTGCTTGCAGAGCGTTGACTTGAGTGCTGTTTTTGGTCTCCTTGTCTTCGCAAGATTTCCGGATGTAAGTGAATTTCCTTAACCCCCTTTCATCATTCTGTTTCTTCAGAACGTCATCATTGTCGGACTTCAGCTTGTCGCTCATTGAGATATTTCAGCGAATCCCGTGGCGATTAGTAGTTACGTGGTCTTTTCTTAAATGATCGAGCGTAGTAATTTTTGCCATAACTCTTGTTTGCAGGTTGTTCGGATGGGATCCGTGACAGAAATGAAGGATATCAGCGGAGAGAAACGGAAAACTGTTGTTTTTAAACATGTACCTGAAAAAGGAGAAGTCACTGTCGTCGATATGAAGACACGCAAAAGGAAAACGGTAAACGTTCATTCTTTTGGTTTTCCTAGAAAAGTATCGCGCGCTTTTCAACTCCTAATTCTTGCAGCATTAAGTTGGTGCCGTAAAGTTAATCCTTTCTGTAGTTTATTTGTTTGACAAGAACTCAAGTGGGTAATCGTATCTTTGGTGTTGAATGCTTACTTGCGTCGTACCTTTTAGACTATCCTCAAAAAACGTTTTTTGAGTTGAGTCGGTAAAGAAGGAACAATGCTTGAAACCTGGTGGTAAATTGTTTTTTGTCCACTCACTCGATAAAACCATTTTGTTTATTTGTTTGTTTTTTGTTTGTCTTTTTTTTTTGGTCCCCCCACCCCTCCCCCATCATGTTTTGTCAGTGGTTAGTGTTGCACCAAAGGACGTGTTATTAAGTGCTCAGTGCAATTTTGTTTAGCAGAATTATTATATCTAATGGCAGGTCAAGGAACACCAACTTGAAGAGTCCTCTTCTTTGAGTGAAGCTTTCAAAACCTCAAGATTTTCTGTTCTGCTTGATATTGTCATTAAAATCCTCAAACTTCTAAAAGATAGTAAGTTTTTCTCTTACTTTTTAAATGGTAAGCTAAGATAATATTCATAATTCTACTGGGCTATTAAAATCGCTACCTTAGATGATGAATACCGTATTTTAGAGGGACATTTTTGCATGTTGATGCTTTATGTTTGTGCAATAATTTCTCTAAGAAAATGTTAAGTTCATAAACTCTCTTTGCCATGCTCTTGCTTCTTCATGTTTGTGTAACTCCGAGAGAGAATATCCTCTCTTGATAATTTTTGTCAAGTTTAAGTAAAACTGTCGCAGGGTATTTGAAAGTGATTCTTCATCAGATTTTTATTTTCTTCATAAATGTTGTTATTAAATTAAGTTAGGTTGACATTACTGAAGATAGTGTAACTAACTCTATAGAACAGTTATACTCCAATACGAAAGTTTGCGGGTATTTAATTGTGTCAATTGTTGTTTTTTCCTCTTTTGTAATAGATAAATCTGTTCCAGTTGAGAGAATGTGGGTTCTTTATTTAGCTCTGAAGGGACTTCTTGGAAATGTCAAGGTACTGTGTCGTTTCCAGGGCTCAAATTACTTTTAATGAATGTGTTAACGGATTTTCACGGATCCGATCAGGAGAAATGTCCTTGAGTTAAATAATCTCTATAAACATTGTATAGAATGGAGAAATTAATGGGTAATTAATGGATTACAAGCTCGTCCTGTGAATGTTGCCGATTCTTTTTCTTCCAGGCAAATCCAAGTTTAAATACAGAATTGTTATCCAGTGGTATTGTTTCGTTGCTTGTTAATATTGCTTGTCGCGGAACTACGTTTAGTGGTCAGTGGATTTTACGCGACTTGGAGGTAAGAACGATATCGCCACAGTTTAGTGTTGACCAGTTATATTCCGGTTTTGCTGTTGCAGATCGTCGCATTTATTCTAGCTTACGTTCTTGATCCTTGTCAACAGGTTCTGTCTTTAAAACTTTATAAATCAGTGCAGCAACCCTCATCCCCTGCTGATACTCCCCCTGTAAAAGAAGAGAGTAAACCAACAGCCAAAACGGAAAAGGAGTCAAGTGAAGCTGCCCCCGAGCCAGGTCCATCAGTAAAAGAGAATGAAAGTGAGAAGGATCCATTTGATGGGCTTAATGATATCACTAGGACCTGCTTTGAGGTTGGTTTGAGATGATTAACTGTAGTACTCTTTGCTGGAATAAATATGACTACAATTCATGCAATTCATACTGTTTGAGAAATGATGAGGATAATTTAGGTTGTATTCAAATGTATATTTTTGATTCACATGCGCTTAACGTTGTAGTTGCCTTAACATTTATCTGTCTCGGTGGAAATGAATTATTGGACCCATCCTGTTGCAATCGATCGAGAAGTTTAGCAGCACTTCAAAATAGGCACTGATAGTTGCGAAGGTTGCCCTTTTTAAACCGTGTTTGCGCAATCTAAATTTTGAGTAGCGATCTTACGTGGCTCTTATTTAAAGAGTGTTTTATCTTCTGTTTAACAGACAATACACGAGGCGATGCCGACCATTCCCCTGTCTGTACTAAGAGCCTTGTTTGAGAGTGTAGGTCAAGATCAAAGCCGACTTTTAGTTGAAGTACAAAGAGGGTAAGTACCATTTATTTCTGCCATCACCGCAGCTACTGTAGAAAGCTTACTTCGTTCTTAAATACTTTTGATTTGTTTATTACAGCTTTGATGGAGCTGTTTTCCAAGTAGACGACGATATTAAGGAGCAGGCTAAGAAATGGTGAGTGTCCACACACTTTTCCAATATACAATTCCTTTATGCATGGTCATTTACGCTGCAAATCCATTTTTTGTGTACCCTCGTTGGTTTGCTTGTTGTTGTCATTGTTGTGTGCAGTAAGTTTTGTTCTTCTTTCTTTTTGTCTGGCTGGTGCTCAACTGGTTGCTACAGTAAATGATACCTAAACAAATGCAGTCACTAACAAAAAATAGAATCGTTTACATGTTGTTGATCTCTTGTGAAAGAAAGTGATTATTAGGACACTGCACATGTACCCGGCAATAACCCTGCCTGGAGTTGCGGAACCTGTCTTTTTTTTCCTGCCATCTTTCCCTCAGGGTTTTATCTTCTGACAAGGCAGCAGCTACCGGCGCAACGTCCTCAGGGGCCGCTGTGGACATTGGCGTGGTGCGCTACAATGCAAAAGACATTTTACCCGCGAACATTCAAGCCAAACCAGAAGAAGGCGAAGTAACTCAGAAGCTTATTCCTACTCTCAGTGATGCTGAGATTGAAGAGGTGAGATATTATGGTGCCATTTTTTTGGAAGGAAACAAGTCTCCACCGTTGAAAAGAGAGTTTATTCAGGTGGTGAAATTACAGGCAAAGTTGTATTTCTTTTCTTAACTAGAGGAAAAAATATATATCAATATCGCGAGTGTGCCTCTTTTTTGAACTTTAACGGCTTCATGTGGTTGTGATGGTCGATATCGCATCTACGCTTCACCTGAAAAGAGAAAATCATGATGGCAACGAGCGAAAACTAACCCTTTTTGTGCTTTTTGGATTGAAACTTTAACATAAAACAACTCGAAAAGTGAAGGCTTTTTTAAAATGATGTACTTGAGCAGTTCCAAGACAGTTTTTCCTCGGCAGACTGAATGGTATCCACTAGTATTGTCATAAAATGTGTAAAGCGCTCAGCGGGGCGCGTGATGTTTTCTCTACGAACGTTATTCATTTGTACATCCATTTATTCCTTATCTATCCGTTCGTCCGTCCATCCATTCATCCACCTCACTCATTTATTAGTTTATTGGGTCATTCATTGATTCCTATCAGAAGAAAGTCAGTCTAACCAGCTATACCTTGTTACCAATCGTCCCTACAAATAATCCTCTTAAACGATTTCTTTCTCACTTATCGCCCACTGCACAGTTGACGACTATGATTATCTTTCAGACTCGCGAGAAGCAGGCTCGCACAAAATCAGCTGAACTTCTGAAGAAAGAACTACAAAATGAAGAAAACCTTAAATCTTCGGAATATCTGAGTAAAGTAAGTTCAAAGGGAACGGTTTCTGCATTTCAGTGAAACTGTTTCGCGCGAATTAAAACCAAACAGTCTATTTTATACCTCAAAAGGTAACTAACATTACATTGACTGAATGGAGAATTTTTACTCTGTTCAAGAATGACTTTACTTAACCCCGTCCTGAAACACCTAGTGCCAAGTAGTTACAAGCAAACAAAATAAAAGAATGAAGTAAGAACGTAATACTGCATTACTGTGTATTAGTGTGGTATCTGTTGTACGTTGGGTTATGTATATGTATCATTTTGTTATTTGTTTATGTTTATGTTGATTGATATTCAGAACTCATCTGGGAGCCAAATTGTGATTAAATTTCGAACATGCTTACTGATACAAGACCAGGAGGGCTACATTAAATTGAGGAGTATAGGTCCAGTCAGATGCAGGCGCAAACGTGAAGCCATCTGTCCTAATCTTATTGTTTACTTGCTTTTATTTCAGGTTAACCTTGCCTTGTCTGTGATTTACTCACGGCACTTGCTCGCTATTCTACTGGGAAACTGGTGTGACTGTGGCATGATAACCAGTGAATTGATCGACAACAGTGATGAGGTACAGCTGATTGGTCTGCTGGACATTCTACAAAAACTGGAAAGCAAAGAACTGTTTGAAAAGGTTAGGTTTTACACTCGTTGCGTGCCATCGGTCCAAATCCAGAGCTATGTGGGTGGTGGGGGGCTGGGTTGGCGGCTTCAATCACCTTTTAGTTTCGATAACTAATGCAGATTCTGTAGCCCATGAACTATGGGAGCTATGTAGGAGTTTGATAATGTAAACTTTTGTCATATGTGATGATTATATGTTCTACTCCTTTCGGGAACATGGAATTCTTTTCCCTTAGTATCGCCTATGATTTTTTTTTTTATAAACTTCGTATTTGAAATGTTGTTTTTGATTATGTGTTGTTGTCCTTTTTGTCGAAGGTTGTGAGTTCAGTTGTACGATATGGAAACCCCAAACTGGTTCATCCATTGTCCCTTGCGGCAGCTCACTGTATGGGTGAAGTGACGCTGTCTTCCGAAACCAGGGAGTCCAGTCATAACTACCCTAATGACACTGTAGATGAGGTGAAAAGCATACGACGCCATTAACTCTTAAACAAAATTTACGAACAACAGCATAGCATTCTTAGCCTACGTTGCAGGCGCATGAGAACTGGAATTTGCTACCGAAAATGGGCCATGCGAGGAAAGAGGAGGATACCTCCCTTTTCGCGCGTGACCTCCTCTAGCGCGCGTATCGTTTATCTCGTCTCATAATTCTTGTACGCTTGTGACGCGTACTTCAAATGATTTAGTGCTTTAATAGGGAGCTTAAGCAAAGACGTTTTTGAGCGAAGCACGTCAACCGGAAGTGAGGCCTTCTCCCTTTTTATATGCCTGGACACTATTAAATTTGTATTGCTGAGTTTCTTTTCTGCTATAAAGACGATTTACCCAAGGGTTTCAACCAAACCACAGCCCAATGCTGCAAAAAATCCACTTCCGGTTGACGTCCGTCGCTCAAAAACGCTGTTGCTTAAGCTCCCTAATCTAAGGATTTAATACCACTACCTGGAGATGTATCTCAGCGTATGTGTCGACAGTTCATTTGAGGATTACACCAGAAGGCTCAAGAAATGCTGATAAATGTAATCGTTTTGGTATTTTTGCTTTTCCGACCTTTGACTTAAGATTCAGAGTGAAAAATGGACTGCAAGATGTATAAGATATTTCACTTAAAGTAATATGTGACCTTACCGGCGATCCATCAACGTGAGTCACCAGACAAAACTATGAGAGGCTCAAGTTAGTTTGTGTGTTTTTGTCATGTGAATTACGAAACTGCAAGGTCTCTTATAAAAATTGTGTTAAACGACAACGAATTCGACATGTTTGGTCTTTTCACAGGGAAAAGTGCATATCCCTGGAGCAGCTACCCTCTTCGTCAAATTTGATTCCAGGTACGTCACGCTAGACTCACGCTAAGTGTGTTGTGATTTACTTGTATACTCATTTTCTCTAATGTCGATAAACAAATAATGATTTAATTTTAACGCATCCTGAGCAATGTGATCCTTTGTCTACCATCCCGAATAGAATTGAAATTTGAAAATGTCAGGTTTTGTTAGCACGGGGAAAAACTGGATTACCCGGAAACAAAAGACCCTCCGAGCAAAGAAAAGAACCAGTATATGGATTTGCCCTATGCATATTTTGTTCGGTGAAACCTGCCTGGTCGCCAAGCGCAACTCCTTGTAAAATGGCTTACAGACCTGCGACTTTTAATCTGGTCTGGTTATGTGTATGTTCAGTGGTTCAAGTCCCAAAACTGACCAACATCAAATTTCTCCTAACAACATCAGTACATCATCAAGAAAAAAAGTTATGAGAACTGATGAAGATGATCACTAAAGGGGGAAGTGTTTTTCTTGTTTATCAAATTCTTTCAGATAAATCTTTGAGGAAATGTGTGATGATCAGTCTGGGGAGGTTTACGTGGATAATTAAAGGGTTTTAAATTGTATTCAGTTTACAAAGACAGTATCACTTTTGATTTACCAGATGTGCCACTGAAGATGGATGTGACGAGCTTCGGATTGCTTCATCTCCTGATTATGAACAAAACAGACACGTGTTTTCCGGTCCAAGTAGTCGATGGATTGATGTGGAAATACCAGGTCTGAAATTGTTCGCTTCGTTTCTTCTTTTGTTTCTCAATGAGTAGTAGTTTCAAGAGTTATTGAACCCATCAACAGCTTCACTGTCTGTTAACACACAAGACACCTTCGAGGTTTTTTATTGTAGTAGTAAGTGGAAGACGTTATATGTGAACGTTATAAATGAACAATAGCTTGAACGAGTCTCTACACAGCCTTACGGCGATAGTGCCCGACCTGCTCCTGAAAGGTCATGGAATCCATAGCTATCGCGTTTGTGAAATCTTAGATACTGCATCCTCCTTAATTTAAAGTAATTTGTGTTCAACCCCCCGGACGCCTCCGATATATATCTTACTGTTAACTGCCAGTGAGAGTCAAATGATGATGAGCGCCAGTGTGTTCGCAGACCACTTAGCACACAACTTTGATACCATGTCTTTTATTTTGTTTTTAGGTGACACGTTGTATTACATATTCACCTCTGACAACAGTACTAATGACTGGGGCTGGAAATTTGTAGTAACTGGAGGCCAACTTGGCAGGTAATTATACCTGCATGGAAAGTCGTGAAATTAAAGAATTTCATTTTCCAGGCTTGGGAAGTCATGTGATTTAATTGTCGGTCATGGAAAGTCATGGAAAAGAAAAGTTATGTTTGGTAACTTTGTCACTTCAGATGTAAGGAAAAATGAGACAAGGACAAATAACTAAAATAGCGCCGACGGAACGCATTTTGGTGGAATCCAGAGTTTGTGTCTGTTAGTTATGTCAAAAATTACCATAAACCAAGCCAGTTTTGGAAGAAAGGAGAATGTCATGGAGAAAGTCGTGGAAAAGTCATGCATGGAATTTGAAGGGCTTAAAAGAGTACGAACCCTGATACAGGCTCATTAGCAGCACATTGTGGCTTGTAATACAAAACCAACCTCAAGCTTGTCAACAGCTTAACAAAAAGTGTTAATCAGTGCATTCCAATATTCGCTTTAGAATGATAAAGATGTGTGTATAGTAGACAATAGAGAAGTAAGGCCTTTATAGTATGTTGGGATAATTGTGTGCTTTTAACTTTAGGTTCAAGACTGGATTCACAGTTCTGAATGCTATGCTGTCATTAGATAACAAAATCGCCAGGTAACTTTCTATAACATACTGTAATCCGCTATTTAAAACTGGGATGTCAAACATATAATTGAGAGTGGAAAACCCCAGCAAGAAAAAAACGAACGCTGTTTTCAGCACTTCTTGTTAGTGTTATTGCCCTTACCTTGTAACTGTAAGAAAGAGTTTCTACATAGTAAGGCATTAAAAAGATGGACGTTTTAGTTCAGAAACTTGGTGTCCAGGGAAGTATTAACTTATAGTTAGATATGACTAGATATTGTTATAAATCACACTAATTTCCTTCCCAGGTCGTTGCCTTTAAAGAAGTTGTGGGTGTGGCTTGTCTCAGTAGCCTGCTGTCAGACTGGTCAGCAGAGGCTTATGGCAACCGGTTTGTTGCTAAGACTTCTGTTGGTTGTCTCTGGGTAAGTGCCACCTCACGTGATGTATTATGTTTGAGTGCAACGCCATGCAACAGGCAGCAACTTAGCAGTCCTATTAAAAACGCATTGTCTGTTAAAAGAACAGTTGATATTATGATGTTAGTTCTATTCATCCGCGGATGGAGGAGACTCAGGGGCAGTCCGAGTTGGGTTCTGAGAAAAGGCGCCACGAAAGTTTTCCGCTTCAGACTGCCTCAAGGTCTTCGAGTATGAGTGTTACTTTATCTTCCGAGCCCTATAGAGGAAAAATGAGTAACAATGAGCATGATGAATTAGGGGAAGAGTTAAATAATTGAATCTGATATATTATACTGTTAATGTTTTCCGTAGGCAAGCGAGGGATAGCGATGGTTCTTGCTCGCCCCCAATGGATGAGAGTGAAAGACCTGATCTGAGTCTGTTGAAGCCCCTTTGGTCACTTTATACGGGCATGCTGGAAAAAGAAGGTCAGAAAACAGCAATCTTATCAGTGTGTTAGGCTAGGTAGACCGACCAAAATATGGGATACTTATTTTACTCAGAATGGTCAGACAAGATATGTCCTTGACTAATCAACATTCTCTGTGCGGATGAATTGACCAGTATTGCAGATTCTGAATACAATCAATCAATCATAGACTTTATTTAACTTCGAATTTGATAGCAAAATTGCTAATTTTGTTATCGAGTCTAGCGTTCATTTGTGCCGTAGTGAAAGGAAGAGACTCCAAACTCTTTGAGAACCAAACTTTATTCCCTTGACAATTAACCTTGCCGAATGTTGGAACTTTCAACGCATGCACGCTGTGATTGAAGATGGTTCTCTCTAATTTTGTTTTATTGTTTCAGAAATCGGAATTGAAGTATCTATAGCCTAGAAAAGCGTAATTTGATAGCCTAACGGTTCCTCTGTTTGTTTGATTGTTGGTTCATTTGTCTGTTTGTTTCTTTGTTTGTTTGTTTCTTTTATCAGGATCTGGGTCAGCTCCAACATTAGTTCCTCCTGTACTCAGAGGCCTCACGGAACTTTTTCTTGTAGTGGAAAACCTCGCTCAGGTCAGACTTTTTCATCCGAAAAAAATAAGACATAACAATGGACGAAATGATCACCTCCTGATGACCGTACGTAATGCAGTCTCTCCTTAATAAGCCCTTTGCTTTCTGTCTGTATAGGATTGGGGTGTGGCAGAGGACCTGGTCGTTGGTTTCACGACAATCGAAAGCTTGAAGAGATGCTTCTCTCAGGTAAAGAAAAACCCAGTTGCTAATTTAGAAATCTCCTGCAGTGGCTGCTGCAGTATTTTGACAGTATTGACAGACATATGTACTGCATGTTGTTTCTTTAAGGCTGTTCAAAGGGTTGGTCTGATCGGTCTTGCCATTGGACAACCAAATAAAGCGTCCGAGGCACTTGTTAAGGCTGCAGCTCACCCCCAGAGCAAGCAGGATGAAGATAAGAAGGTATCCGTCACAATGATTCTCACGCAACTTCAAAGCAGTGATTTCTAGAAAACGGACCATGTATTTATGATCCATCCACCCAGGAGCATAAATACATGCTGTTCAAATAATGCTTAGCTATACTCGGCACAAGATCACCTTCTCATTCGAGAAGGGCTGGATTATATAATGAAAATACATTTACTTCATGTCGCATAAACCCATCTCTCACTGGCCGGGTACCTGTGGCTGTCACTCTACAACTGATAGATAACATTTGCTTTACTGCTAATATAAAGTTAATAGGACAATTGCACTATGACGTCATTTTACTACAACTACCAGAATCGTTGAGTTTGTTGTTTTCTTGTGCAAATTAAGGCTATTGTTCATTAATCCTCTGCGGGATTGATAAATTTAAATAACAAAACACAGTATGACTGAAAACCAGCTGAGTACGTTTCAGCAGGCTACACACGGTAAATGGCATTGACCGCGTATAAATAAAGTCAATTACATTATAATTATTGTGTTTGTAGTGTTAGGCGATTATCCTTTTGTTATTTCTTGTGGTCAAATCTTATAATGTTTACCTCGTACTTTCCATAGGAGAAGTCAAAATCAGACCCGGCAGTTCGGTGAGTGTTGTTCGCTTTTTTTTCTACGTTCGTTTAATATTTATAACTTAATGTTTTTTGTTGTATTAGTTTTAATTTTTGTAATAAAGTAGGAGAACCCCTTGGTAAAGCACTTTCCAGTGAGTATACAAGTAGGTAAATGTATCCTTAACAAAGACTGCTGAAAGAATTTGTATTTTCCCGAGGAGTTTTGCATCGACGACAAATTACTGTGACTGCGTAAACCACTGGGACTGCGTTTAACAAACCACTTCTATTTACTTCTAGCAATTAGCAAGATGTTATGTTCAATAACAATGTTTGGTCGCTGGTAATTTCGAGCGCCGTTCTCAACCCATTTTCGAAATTAGAAGAAAAGAAGTAAATGGCCAAGCAAGTCTAAACAGGCATAAAGAGTTAGCCAATGAAATAATCGAGCTATTGGCGGAAAATGTCTTGCTAGTACACTGGCTTTGATTCTGAGTGGTTAAGCACGCACGCACTTTATGTTTTGTATGTACTAAAATCGCTCTATTCACCTATTTTAGTGTTGCAGAGTTCAGGCCTCCTTTCTCGTTTTCTATTGGTCGAGATGAAAACGAAGATGACACCACAGGAGACGCTTCTAGCGATGACTCGGACGACAGCAGCTCCTCTTCTGATACATGGAGCTAATCACGTGACGTGTACAATGTCATGTCACCGAGATCTCGAGTCACGTGATTCATTCAGAGCTCAGTCAGCCTTTGCCAGAAGATGTTTGAGAAAGGTTTTGTTGGTCGTTGCTTGTCACCAGGGCGTGACTTGAAGAGAGAATAGAAAATAGCAAATTTAGCCAGTGTATACAGCTGAACGCTTGATTCAAATTTGAACACAGTACAAGAGCTATCGGCGAAATTTCATTGAACAAAAACTACAGGTATTTGAAAGCCGAGAGAAGTTGAAAAATATATATTCTGTGTTATAACGCTCTTTATAGGAAATCAGGAGCATTAATTGAGGGAACTATATCTAAAACCTGACCTTTTTTAACCTTAATTAAGCTGAAATCTCTGTAAAGTAACAGCTGCATGGTCCCATTGAAGGAATAGTCATCTGTGTTATACTCGGAAACTCTTGGGAGGCGTCCTGACGAAAGGCAGGTCAATGGCACTCAAAACATTCGCTTTGGAATCACCGATTCTACACGGAGGTCATTCATTCCCGATCCGTTTATATCTTATCTCAAATTCGCTTTATAAATTCTTGACGCACTTCTCAGACATTAGAATTTTAGTAAAATGCCACAAAAGTTCAAGAGATTCTTTAATATCACAAAGAAATCAACTGTACCACTGCATATCACAAACCTCTTGCCATTAGACTGCAATTGCGCGCTGTTCCCAATGGTCTGTGCTACCTCAAGTTAACAGCCGGCAAATAGCAGAATCACAGCAGTTTTAAATGGTGTGTTGTGATCCTCTGTACTCGAAGAGAATCATTAAAGTAATTCTTTAGTTATTCCTCACAATGTTTTAGCTTTTTCGCATATCATTTCCTTAATACTGACAAGTAGTATCTAACCACCTGTTATCGTCAAAATATCGCATTTCTAATATTTTATGGAGAAGTGTGTTGAAGTAGAAAAATAAAAACAGGACATAAAAGACACGCAAGAAACTATCTCTGGATGATTTTTGCTGCCACTGCAGTGAGCATAGCTTATCAGTCCAACGAACTTCAATTATGAGATTGATTTTGATTGGTTTCGATGGCCAAACACAACCCCCAGTTATGACATATGCAAATCTACTGTACTAGGTCACGCTATGTTGAATTCTATTCAATTAAGAAGACGCTTCAAAACTTCACGGCTACTACTGACCTAAAAGTCGGAAGTACATATACCGACGATATACGAGATTCCTAGCGTTACAGTGTTACTTAACATGAGCTTTGCTTTGGGTTCAGTTTTGGTAGAGGAGCACAGAACAGGGCAAATTTTATTAGGCATGAAAATAATACACTTTGCTGTCTTGAATAAATAGAAATGTGTCATGTCTTATTCACCCACGCGGTGATTGGGGCTCCATAAACATGCACAGAAAAGCACTACACTGGCGAAAGTTGCTTCGTTCACGTGTCGTTCACGTTGTGACAGTTTGCAAGTCTTGAGGCTTATAATAAAAATAACAGTATTAAAGTCTTTTAATCAGGAGAATCTTGAGATAATTTTTACCGGATTCGTGATAATGATTGTTTATTTGAAGTCCATAAAATAATAATGCATCAGAAACGGATTTTCTTCATGTTCCTCGCAACCTGGCTGCTCCGACTCAGTAGCTTCTTCTTCCGACATTTTCTCTGTACCAAGATATTGAATCGTGCACCTGTCGCCAAATCGCTCATTAAGAGCCTTCTCAGAAATAAACTTGAAGGTTGAGGGCATACCTTCGGTAGATTCAGGAGCAAAGAACTCGAGGAAATATCTGCCATCGGGTTTGAGGCAGGAGAGCATTAGATCGCAGTACTGCTTCATTCGTTCATCTTTCATCACGTTGATAGCGGTCATCGAACCACGATCCCAGATGAGATCAAATTGGCCCCCGGCGACTGCAGCCGAAAAATCAAATATACTACATTCGTATAGCGAGATATCTTTCTCATCCACTTTGAAAATCGTGCCCTGGATTTCTGGCGAGAGTGTAACGCATTCTTCGCGATGTGTCAACTTGTTGTCTTGTAAAAATGCTTCGATTCCTTTTCGAATTAATTCAACTCCTACCACAGAGTGTCCCTGGTCGGCCAACCAGATCATATCCAATGATTTTCCGCATAGAGGGACAAGGATTCGCAGGCCTTTTCTCCCGCCGGTGAATGCTTTGTAGTGTTTCATTAACATGGCATTCACCTCTTTCAAGTGGAACATCGGATCGTCCGCTGTATTCCAATCTTGCTCCCATGTTTCCTTACTTTCGAAATCACATGTGGCTATATGTTCTAGGTTGTCGCGCGTGTCCATTTCTACGGTCTCAGAATCCTTTCCTTTTGGGAGACCTTTCTGTTAGAAGTTCAGCTCACGGGAGGCTGAGAAGTGTGGCGGAGCGTGAATTACCAAAGGCATGCGCACAAGAAGCGAGTCACGATTTAAATCAAATACTGACGGATCCAATGTATTCATTTCTTTAACGGATCACACATGCTTTTTAAAAAGGTTTTAACGTGACTGAGTCAAACCTGTGTAAGATGATGGTAGTATATTGTGGACGGTGCAACAGCTATGAGCTGCCATGAGAAACGCGAATCAAGGATACACGCCTCGGAGCTTTGGTTAGTCTCTCAGTATAGCCAGCACGAAGACAGAGGGTTACGAAAGGGTATCAAAGCACATGAATTTTTGGCATATTTATTCAGGGGAAATTTAACCCCGTTTTATGTAATACAGCCACGATCAATTGCCGATTACTGAGTCATCATTGTGTAAGATAATGTGATGAAGGTTTCTGCTCACAAATGGTCGCAAACTCAGTTTTAAAAATGACTGTAAAAAGGACCTTCAATAAAATAGCTCATAAAATAAATCGGCGAAATGTGCTGTTCTGCAAAATAGTCTGCAGAACAGGCGCTAAGCCAAAAAAGCGCCAAACAATTAAGATGGGAACGTACTTCTGAGGCGTCATTACACCGACTCTATTATTCCTTACTGTGGACGGTAATGAAAACCAGATCCTTAGTCTAGTATCAGTATCTGGGGGGCCGTTTCCCGAAAGTCCCGGTAAGCCTCCCCGTTTACATTAAAGATCGGGGTTTCAATAGTTTTGTATCTAACATGATAAAACTATCAGTTAATGAAACAAAATGGAGTAGTTTGCTACCCAGGACCCGCGCTCTTATTCGTTATATTTCGTTTTGAATATTTGATTTCGAGCCCGAAAAGTTACCGAGACTTTCGAGAAACGGGCCCCCGAGGTTCCTTGTCCCTAACCCCTCCCCTCCGCGTGCTCTGTCATGATGAGGTAGATATTTGAAGGGAAGTTTAGGTTTACTGAGCACTGCTCGTCCTAGCTAGCAACCTACACAAACCGGCCTTCAATCTAGTAACCATCCATATAGAGGCGCTTGAATCGATCTCAACTGTTGAAAAAAGAAACGTTATGCTGGTATTGGAAAGCCGGGAATTTCAGGCCATTTCTCGCAAAGTGGAAAGTACACTGCAATCAACTTTTAGGTGATGGTATCAATAGAATTCGTTTTTGTGCTAGACGAAATCTGTTAATCGTAGTATTATAAAGGCTAGATGCATTTGCTAGATTTTCAAACATAATCGTTTAATGTAAACCTCTTTTGGAACGGCAATTCAGCGATCATTACATTGAAATTTAACCAACGACACCTCAAAGACTTAATGAAATCTGAAGACTTCTGGTATCACAGTTCAAATAATGTACATTTACAGGTTAACGCACTTAAGTAAATTATCGGGATTTACCCGTTCGAGTTCTCTAACAATGAAAGCCGAGTGCGGTATTGAAAATTTCGTGTTCATTGTTAGTGAACGAGTACAGGTACATCCCCATAATCTACGAGCAATGAGTGCGTTAACATTTTTATTATTCAAATTGAATGCACTGCACAAAGCTGGCAAAACTGTTGACAACACGCAAAAACACCTCAACTAGCTTGAATGAAAAATTTAAAATTCGCAATCTTTCCTTTCAAAACAGATATTCCCCAGGCAGTTGCTTTCTTGGTGTTTTTAGCGGAGCTCCACGCGCATGCAGCGCGCGAAGCGGAGCACCATGGGTAAGAAAAACTTCGGTAATCACATGACCGTACTTCCGACCGACCGTCCGTCCGCACCACAGGTATACCAATGTAAAATAGCTCAACTAACAAGTATAGCAACCAAAATGCAACTCGAGGCTATTTTGGCGGGAAATCGCATAGCCAGCCTCGTCTTGTGAAGTAGAGACAGGAGCCTGGCAGAGACAACTAAAGAGTTAATAAAAACGAAAACGGAAAGCGGAAATTGTCTCTGTATCCTTGTTGTCTAAAGTAATAACCCTAGATTAATTGTCATGTCCACAAATGTGGAATATAGAGAAAAAATAAAGTGGGCGACAGGCCAGTGATGAAGCTCAACGAGAAAAAGAGCGACAGAGAGATAGAGCGGAAGGACTAAGGAGCTATTTGTTGGAAGAACAACATGAAAGCGGTGAGAAAATGAGAAATCCTAGCGGCCACTAAGTGAAAATGAGCGAGTGTTAAAAGTAAACAACAACAGGTGCAAGTTTTTGGAAGTTTCACGTTGTGGTCGTGCAAAACAACGGCAAAGAATGAAAAAAAGTGTGCTACACGTGCAAAGTTTTTTGTGCTAATTAGACCTATTGTTTTTTCACCGTTCTCGTTGCCTTCGCCGCTTAGCCAGTAACATGATTTTATATTTTGTTTGAGCAAACTATAAGTATTATCGAGAGCTTCGCTTTTAGCCCTGGCTAAATCTATGTATTAGGAATTACATCATCAACAAGAGAATCAATGTCTGCATCTGTCAAATCTTCAAACTTTGAATCAGCGGAAGCCAAGGTGTAATGACAGTGGTGTGTAGAATTTACACCACGATAATGACGTCAAGGTGGTTGTTTCGTCACAACCCAGTATCACGTAGTACAAATCCGCCAATCAGAAAATCGGAA